GTTACATGATTGGTCTGTGAAGGAACATCAAGAAAGAGGATCAGACTTGATCAGTTCAGGCTATGCGAGTCGTCTATCTTCACAACTGGAAATGCGCTCCGAAGGGCTCCATTGAATCTAATATTTTTAGATGTTAAATTAATTAACATTGTGTTCTTCTGTGTAGCGCACGGTGTCTCGTGCCAAGTGAAAGGAAAGCTCCGCTTGCTCCAAACCATGAAAAGAGAGTGCCCGGTCATCATCATTCCACTCCCTTCTTGGTCTACTTCGGTTACAACTTTTTCTAAGGTACGGTGCGATCAGACCAAGTGCGAGATTGGATCAAAAATAACGTATGAAAGGATTATGGTCTATCTAGTACAGTAGAAAATTAATAAAAATACCATAAGAGAAGAAAGGCTTCCTACTTGAATCATATAGTTGCTATTCCGGGTTCTTATCGAGATTGGGCAGTCTCCTCTATCAAAATAGTAAGAGAAAGAGAAGGAACGGGGTAGAGGTACGAAGTCACTAGAGAATTCGTTTCACTATGTGAAACTCAAGTCTGAATAAGCAAAAGAGTTGTAGGTGGAAACACATGTAACCCGGTTAATTATTAATAATGTTGGGACCATTTACAAGTTTACAAGCCGTGCGGATTATTTTGTGTCTGCCTCTTTATGAGGCTTTCATTCCTATTTATAATAATAGAAAATACATTGTTCAACACTACTGTTCATCTCAAGTCATCCACCCGGGCAGTCTTTAAGCCGGCCAGTCTTCAAGTCATCCACCCAGGCAGTCTTCAAGCCAACCAGTCTTCAAGTCATCCACCCGAGCAGTTTTAAGTCATGATCTTACTGGTCTGACACCCAACATCTACCCGGTCAGACTATCGGGGACGGTGAGGTCAAGTCTGGTCAGACTTTAAGCCTTCTGCAAATGAAGTCATGGTCCCACAGGTCTGACCCCTGGCGGGGGTGGCGCCGTGGCGGTGGGGTTGGTGGCGGCAGTGGTGGGTGCTGAAGCGGCGGTGGGGTTGGGCCGGTGAGTTCCAGCGGAGGTCGTGAATGGTGGGTAGGGATGGGTGGATATGTGCTAGGACATTTTAGTCTATTCACTCCTTTATTCAATGCCTCTTAAAAATGAGGAAAATTCAAAGTGGGAACATCATTCCCAGACGGAGGGAGTAAATGATATGGATTTGAGCATATAGATGTGGGTGGTATTAAGAGTTTAGTATGTACATACATTAGGTCTAGGAACCGGTGAAGCAACTAGGGATCACTCAACTCGTGCATCCAAAAGTAGAAGAGTATATATACCTAGACTTTAAAAGCCCAAAGAACAAAATTCCAAACCTGAAGACAAGCGCGCACAGACTCATACTTAGACATAGGAAGTCATATCGAGTCTATCTCCACATAGAATAACTCAGTATGATGTGAGGATAATATATGACAGTTGGATGAGATGATTGGTGAAATAATGGAACACAATTCTATTCAAGAAAATGATGACGACTTTCTCTTAGGAGTAACTCCACGTGAAAGCAAGGTTGAAATTAAGGGATGTTCCTATTGTCGTTTAATTATTTGTGAAATTATAAATATGGATCTACTTGATGATACAGACAAGCTTCTTTTGTAGATTCTCACGTAATGAATTAAAGAAGCATTTTCTAAAATAAAGACGTATTAAAATTATAGATAAATGATGTTTGGTAATAATGATCTTGACCTTTAATAAATATTTTTGAATATGTATAAATATACGTTCATAATTGAAGAAATGCTTTTACACCTTGTCATGATTGTGTAATTATATTGAAAATTAGAATTAAAGATTTATGAAAAATAGAATAATAACTTTTCTTAATAAAAGGACTTAGAGGTGTTAAAGATTGTTATAAATGTAATTATGTGTTCATATATTATTCTTTGAAATATACTTTGTAGTACAACTCATTGGTTTCAATGGGCGTATAATTTCATTTTTTGTTCATTTGTTGATTTTCTCATTTCATTTGTTTTGTTTTTTAAATTTTAAATTTCATTTTTTATTTTTTACATATATTATTGAATATCTTCCAGAATAATGATAAAAAAAATTAATTTTTCTAACAGCCAAGTCCAAAAACTACTCTCCATAACTTTTCAAATTTCAACTTAAGTCAAACATTCAATTAAAAAAGCCATTAACCAAACATATTTTTCGGGGTTGGATTAGTAAAAAATACCAAAGTCAAGTTAAGATATGCCATAATCATCCGAAATGCTCCGTACTATTTTCCGCCACTTAGGCTGATAGTGACTAGTGACTGAGCAGCAGTTTTTGCTCTCCCATCTTTTCCATTATCTTATCTATATCATGTGATTTTCCCGATATTGTCGACGAAACAATGGCCACCGGCGTAGCACGTTTGAGATCGCTGCTGACGGCACACGACTGCGGCGGCGGCCGCCGGTGTTGTTTTCCCGCCGCGCGCTTCTTCTCTTCATACAGCTACACCTCTCATCTCTTTGATGTGAGCTCCCTTTCTTCTCAATTACTGTATATTTGAAACACTGAGTATCATGCTGTTTTTTTGTTTTTTTAAACATATTTTTTTGCAATCGCTTGAAGTGGTTGAAATGGGGTAAATAGTTCTGCTCAAGCTCCGTGCTTTGATCTGTGATGCAAATAGGCTTTTCAAATTATGAATGCCAACAATAATCATGAGAATGAAATTTTGAAGAATAAGTATTGAGCTGAACTTATTCAAAAAGAGCAGTTCTGAGTTTGAATTATGAATTTATTGCATTTTCTGTTTTGTAATTTTTTTCTTCAGAAGATTGGATTTGTAGGACTGGGGAATATGGGTTCAAGAATGGCTGATAATTTGATAAAGGCTGGATATGATGTTGCTGTTCACGACATGTAATGACATTTATCTTTCTTTTTCAGCATATCAATATAGTACTCCCCCATGTTTAGCTGGCTTGCTTGCTCTGATTTAAGCCCGTTTGACCTCTAATTTGAGCCCTTTTTACTCTAGATTGTAAGCTGAGATCACAATTGTGACTATTTGCATTTGCTTCTTCATTTTCTTTTACATTCAAGCAACCATGATGTTCGGAAGAGATTTTCTGAAAAAGGAATTCCTACAAAAGAATCACCAATTGAAGTCGCGGAAAGAAGTGATGTTGTGATTACAATGTTGCCATCTTCACGCCATGTGAGCTATACTATCGTTTATTTCTTTTTCTTTGCCATTTTAGCCATATTACATTGCGTCTAGGATTTAAAAATTAGAACGCTCTTCTATTACTGAGTTCATCTGAACATATACCAGGTTGTTTTCGGCCAATTTCAGGGAGGATGAAACGTGATATCCATTTTCAAAAACATCTTTTTCCTAATAACAATTATTCCTTGAAAATAAGTCACCCAAACGCTTTTATAAGCAATACCATTACCCTTGTTGCTACTCACAAAGGTTGTATGAGATCTGTTAAATATATTATTTATATGTTTAATATTATTGTATTATATTGTTACCATAACTGTATCACCTTCCTACTATGTCTCTCCTACCATAATTAGGATTGAGACTCCTAGTATATATTCACATGTAATCACCACAATTCATCAATGAAAATATTCTTTCTACATGGTATCGGAGCCTCATAAACCCTAACCCAAAATTTTCTTCTCCTTCCTGCGCCGGCCTCCCTCTCGGCTCACCCTCACACAGCCGCCGGTCTCTCTCTCTCTCTTGGCAACCTCCTGCCGCCGGCATCCTCCCCCAATCACCATGACGGACAGCGAAGTTACGTCCCCAAACACCACCTCTAAATCCCCACATCTTGCCTTCACCACCATCTCTAATGTCAAACTCCATGTCCCCATTCAACTAAGCTTTTCTCAACCTAATTATAAAAAGTGGAGCCGATTGTTTCTTCTTCTCGTTCGGCGCTTCAATCTCCATGGTTACATCTATGGGTCCGTCGTCCCTACCTCCGACGACGACGATGAATGGTTTCAACTGGATGCTCTTCTTCAAGGCTGGATTCTCTCCACAATCACTGACGAGGTTTCAGACCTTGTCATCTCTTCCACCACCTCTGCAGCCTCTCTCTGGAAGGTGATTCATGATCTCTTTCACGACAATAAACACGCTCCTGCCATGCAACTCGAGCACCAATTCTGTACTACCGTCAAAGGGAACACCCCCATGGCTACTTATTGTCAAAATCTCTTCAACATCGCCCGATTGGTTAGACGATGTTGATGCGCTGGTATCACAAAATCAACTTGTTCTTCAGATGCTACGCGGGCTGCCGGAGGATCTTCAGGCTCAAACTTCGTTCCTCCAGTTTCAAGATCCGCTGCCCACATTCCTTCAGGCCCGATCGGCTCTCCTTCTGTTGGAACCGCAACGCTCACCGCTGGACAACCACGGCACTACGGCCCTCGTTGCACGATCGGGTGGTTCTTCCCACCCTGGGGGTTACGGCAGCAACCTCACGCCGCAGGGCAGTGGCTACACCGGCGGGCAGCATGGCGGTTTTGGCAGCGGCTACAGCGACGGCTCCTCGGGACAGCGCAGCGGCTATGGACGAGGTCACGGACGGACATAGACTTCGTTCGTGACAAAGTGGCGCTTGGGCACATTCGAGTCCTGCATGTTCCTTCGTCCTCCCAGTATGCCGACATCTTCACCAAAGGACTCTCTTCACTTCTGTTTCTTGACTTTCGAGACAGCCTGGGCATCAGACCGCTTCCACATCCGACTAGCCGGGAGCATGTTAAATATATTATTTATATATTTAATATTATTGTATTATATTGTTACCATAACTGTATCACCTTCCTACTATGTCTCTCCTACCATAATTAGGATTGAGACTCCTAGTATATATTCACATGTAATCACCACAATTCATCAATGAAAATATTCTTTCTACAAGATCACTATCATGATTACTCTTGTAAGCAATACCCCCCATCCACACACACAAATCTTGTAAAAACTGCAACAAGAAACAAAATATAATAGGGCTTTAATCAGTGGAAGACATGGAGATGGACGTCTTGACGTGGGGAGTTGCACCAGGGGTCCGCCCTTAGCCCTTTCTTGTTCGCCTTGGTGATGGACGTCCTGACGCGGGAAGTCCAGGAAGAAGTCCCGTGGTGCATGCTTTTTGCCGACAATAATGTGCTTATCGACGATACACGGGAGGGCCTAAATGATAAGTTAGAACTTTGGCGCCTTTCCCTACAAACCAAAGGATTCATTCTCAGTAGGGCCAAAACTGAATACATGGAATGTTGTTTCAGTGGCCGGGAGACATATTCAGGGGTGGAAGTGAGGATTGACTCTCACCTAGTGCCCAAGGTTGACAAGTTTTGGTATCTTGGCTCGGCCATTCAGGTAGATGAGGAGTTAGGTCATAGATGGGGATCTTGTGCATCATGTTGGAGTTGCTTATGCTAAGTGGAGGGCGGTTAAGAAGATACATGTACGTGCGGCGTCTGCATGCGACAGAGATGCGAATGTTGCGGTGGATGTGTGGGCAGACGAGGCTGGAAAGAATTGTGAATGAGGTTATTCGAGGTCGGTTAGGCATGATGCCACTACGCCAGTGGAAGCTTCGGGAAGCTAGGTTGAGGTGGTTCGGTCATGTGAGACGGTGGAATGCTGATGCTCCGGTGGGGAGATGCGAGAGGCTTACGTTGGTAGGGAGAAGTAGGGGAAAGGATATACCTGGGAAGAGTTGGAAGGAGGTGATTAGACAAGACTTAGGACTATTTGCCCTTGCTGAGGATATCGCCTTAGATATGAGTGTTTGGAGAGATAGGATTAGAGTAACTGGGTAGGTGCCTTGAGCTAGGGGGTGTTGTAGTTGTGTGCTTTGTAGGCCTTTTATGTTTAGTGCTTTTTACTATTTGCTTGCAATACTCTCATTTCGTAATTTCGGTTTAGTTTTCATTCTGTGTGCTTGGTGCTTTATTGCGTTGTATCTGTGCTTTCTTCACTTTATGTATCTATTGTGATCCTTTTTATGTGCAACTTGAGTCGGGGGTCTCATGGAAACAGCCTCTCTACTTTCGGGTAGGGGCAATGCCTGCGTACACACACCCTCCCCAGACCCTACTTTCGTGGGATCCAACTGGGTTGTTGTTGTTTTGCTCTTTGCTTGGACATGAAATACTACTCTGTATTAGAGTGTAATTCACACACACACACACACTATTATACTATTGTTATGGTAAATGTATAGAGTTTGTATTCTTATGCCAGATTTAGACTTGGTTATTTTTCCTTTCGATTCCAATCGTGCAATTTAATATCTACTTTCTTAGGTAATTGATGTCTATACTGGAGCAAATGGTTTGCTTGCTGGTGGAAGTCCAGTTAGACCATGGTTATTCATAGACTCTTCTACAATTGACCCTCAAACTTCAAGAAAAGTATCTGCAGCTGTCTCTGATTGCTTTTTGAAAGAGAAGTTAGGTACATTTATGAGAACTAAAAACATACAATGCAACATGTTCCATCTTTCTACACCTACACCTTAAGTACATCTTTAAGATTTTAAAATACTGCTCCCCATCTATATCCTTCATGGTTGTTTGCTCTAACTTTTGGTTCATGACTTTTTCATATCTACTACTGATTTGTCCTCATTACCTAAAGCTAACGCATAATTCTTGTCTCCAACTCTTTCTTTATTCAGTAATTCTTGTAATAGGTTATGCTGGATCACACATAATGTAATAATCTACTTACATGGATCTTGGAAATGAGATCTGATCATAAATAAAGGCATAGACCTATGATGCCATGGAATGAGCTCAGGGTTTCAATGCATCTTGGGTAAAAAAAAAAGTAATTAATTTATTGAAGCTTGAAATCATCAAGATTCCACGGCCTCCTTGTGATAATACGATCCCATATATCGGTTGACAATAGTGTAGGAGATGGTCTGTTATCCTTTTATACTTGGTTGGGATTACTCCTTGGTCCTAGCTTCCTTTAGAATAGGCTTTGTTCTTCCATTAATCGAGCTAACTCCATTCTGGCATTCTTCTGCCTCCGAAATTTTCAAGATTTTTGTCTTCAAACCTATGATGCCAACAATGTTCACCAATTTTGATTTGACTCCTCGGGTTAAAATGCTAGTTTTGGTAAGAAAGGTGTCCATATCATTTGAAAGTTATAGCAAAGTACTTTTTTTGTTTATAGACGGCCAACAGGCTCCTTCCATGCTTGATGCTCCCGTGTCTGGTGGTGTTGTTGCTGCAGAGACTGGAAGTCTTACTTTCATGGTATCTATATTTTTTCTTTTAAGTAAATGAAGTTTTTTTTGAAAAGGTAGTAATTGAAGTGAAATGGTGCAGAAAATTTTCTGTTGTGAATACTGGTGTGTTTTAAATGAAAAAGCTTTTCCTGATATGCATTCCAAGTCAATTAACACCTTTATAAAGCAGAAAAATTTTATAAACCAGAAAAATTGGTTCACTCTTCTTCTAATTGATTAAATGATGCTGGTTTATAGCCATTGTATCTCAGCATGAAATCTAATTTAAGTGGAGTGAAATTAAATTTCTTCATGAACAAAGAAACTATTCTCTGAAAACTACGGAATACAAAGTCCCAATGTTCATAAGGTGCATATGAAAAAGTATTGCAGCTCTTTAAACATATTCCTTGTTGTCGTGTTTACACATACAATCAAATTAAGTTGTTGAAAATGACTGGTTTGTTGCTATAACATCTCATTTTCTGCTAACAGGGGTTTCCCTGTAGGCCTGCACCTCTCTCATTTCTCATATAAGAATGGGTTTGGTATTAGATGTCTGACCTAGTAATGGTTGCCCCATCTCAACTCAAGCGAGTTTTCATAGTTTATACGGATTAGGAAATAATATGATGTTCAGGTTGGTGGCTCGGAAGAAGCTTACATGGCTGCAAAACCCTTGTTTCTATCAATGGGGAAAAACACAATTTATTGTGGTGGACCTGGAAATGGTTCGGTATGTGCGTATACTGTATTCAACGTTGATATATTATTTACTACTCCTTCCGTTCGAAAAAGAACATCTCAGTTCACTATTTAAAAATCACGAGAACTTTTGTTTATTTGTGCGTTTTCATTGATTATTTGACAAATTAAAATATTCTTGTCACCTCTTGTTTTGTAGAACTTTTGACGTATTTTTAAAATATGTAAGTTTTATTTTTATTTCTATACCAATCTCTAAATAAAATGAATTGAAAAAGCTTGAAATTTCACTTCGTTTGACGTAATGTGATGTTCTTTTTGGGACAGATGGAGTATATGATTCTGTGGAACTGAATTCCTGCATGCTTGTTAATTTATACCAGACAACCAGTTATGTTGTCAAAGCTACCTGTTGGAACTTCCAGATGGCCTTTCCTTTACTTCTCATCTTTCTCAATGATTTAAAGCAACTTCATTGAATCTAATCAGTGCCCTTTACACAGCAATTATTCCTGATCAAAAATCTCTTTTGGAACTTTTCTCAGACAGCAAAGATCTGTAACAATTTGGCAATGGCTGTCAGTATGCTTGGGGTATCCGAAGCACTTTCCCTTGGGCAGTCACTAGGAATCACATCAAGTACACTTACACAAGTGTTTAATTCTTCCAGCGCTCGCTGTTGGAGCAGGTATTAATTGCAACCTATTTCCTCACCAAGCATGGAAATGTAGAGAGGCTGTTCCCAAGTAGAGCTCCACCAACCGTGACATGTAGTAATTAAAACTAGTAAAAAAACAGCAATACGAATTCAAAACTAGTGACTAAAAACATATCAAAATGTAAAATGTCAGAAAAAACCAACCACATGTTGGACAAAATGAATGAAATATCTTCTGGAGGTATTGTGCTCCAATCATAGGAAGACACGGACGGAAGTGTTATTTGGATGGTAAAAGTGCTATTGTCAACACAAGTGTTGCGATTATACTTGGCTTTGGAAAACTCCTAGTGCAGGGAAAATATTTCAGGCACCTCGGCATTTTCTGCCAAATGGATGCCTAAATTTCTTCCAATCGCATTATTTATTTCTTAGTATGGATTGTGACATTGTCTTGCATTTATGAGAATGCAAATGACAGCGACACATATAATCCTGTTCCTGGTGTAATGGATGGAGTGCCCTCTTCAAGGAATTATGAAGGAGGTTTTATGTCGAAGTTGATGGTATGTGGCTTAATATGCAATATTTAAGGGATTAAGTCTGGAATAAAATATATTTATTTTCCATGTGTGGTCCCCCCCCCCCCTTTTTTTCTTGTTTCAGCTTAAAGATCTAAACCTTGCTCAGACATCAATTAAAAGTGTTGGACTCAATTGCCCCTTGGCATCACAAGCAGCGGAGATGTATGTCTTTCATTCAAATTTCTCTTCTCCCTCCCAACACATTAGAGATTTTTTACTTTTGGTGTGATTTTTAGTAAAATACATAAAAACAGTGTTTTTTTGTTAAAAAATTTTCTCTCAAATAAGATCTACACAATCACATCAAGTCAAAAAAGTCTGAAGTACAAGAATAAGAATTGATTGGAGAAATTAGATAGTCAGGTACAGTTCTAAAATAGTAGTGTTTATATTAGAGTAAACATTACAGTATTTTGGGATAACATTAAAACAAAAGTATGAGAAAATAAAAAATAAAATTAGACTGGGGGAGTAAAGTTTGTAGTATTTTGAAACTCAACCTTTTGAATTTGCGTCCATTGCCAATGGAGCTAAGAGAGTCATTGTTGGCAATATTTTAGCTTCGCAAATAATGGACTTAAATCATAATCACACATTAAAATTTCTTTGCTTCTCACTTGTATGATGTTTTGGGTACTAAATGCAACAATACATCAAGGGTTTAGAGGAGATAGTTTATCATATTTTTCCAAGTTAAGACTGCGTAAATCTTAACCCCAAGCCCCAATAGAGTTGGAGTTATACAGTTTTTTGATGTTGTCTTTGTTTTCTTTTAGCTTTCAACCGGCATAATTTTTGTTAAGTATTTGATTGGAGGGGTGGGAGTGGAGGGAAAATGAATCCCTCACCTCATTTTGTTCAAAATATGCTTTTAATGTGGGATCAAAATTTTAGTTCCCACATTAAAATATGTTTTGAACCAAATGGGGGGCTAAATCATCTTCCCTTCCCGCCAATCAAAAACATCCACACTGCTTTTGAGACTGCTAGTGCACACAACCATCTTCAAAATGTTAAAAAACCACTATTCTAATTATTAACCTTGGTAATAATTGTGGCACACATTTACTAACTATCAATAATAATTTTTAGAGTAAATTCCTTAAATGATCCCTAATTACAATGTTACATGTGATTTTCCATATATAGTCTCCAATTCTAAGATATTACATAAATGGTCCTCAAAATTAAAAAACTTTTCCATAAATAGTCCTTTAGGCCAAATATGACAAAATATTTTTCCCACATATAGTCCCTGAAGGACCGATTATGGATTACTTTTCAAAAAATGAGGACCATTTATGTAATATCTTAGAATTGGAGAGTAATATGGAAAACCACCTATGACCATTTATGAGATTTACTCTAATTTTTAATGGACTTTCCAACTAGATATGCAAAGCTATGCAGTGATGGTTATGAGAACGAAGACTTCTCGTGTGTTTTCCGTTATTATTACTCTGGAAAGGATGAGCATCTAAACTAGAGATCTTCTTGCATCATTGGATCTTGAAAGCCGGAAATTGTTCATCAAGTAAGCCTTTTTCATTTTTATATTCACCATATGTAATGCACTGACTATTGTAGACTGCTCTCTGTAAATTTTCTGTATCCATACTTTTTAATTTATCAATGAACTAAGAATATATTGGTCTGGTTTCTCTATAGCACATCATAATCCCATGTAATTCAATAACTCTTTGGGAGAAGTTCTATTGCTCAGTCTCTTCCTATTGCCTGCAGAAATTTCAGTAATATTCCGTGTATAATAGCGAGTCATGTCTGTTCAGTAGAGAACAATTTGAGACCAAACAAATGTCAGTTATATATAATAGCACACATGGTTTTGTGGCCGACTGGTTACTACTATGGTTTTTTTCTTCATATCCTACTCATAATTATGAATGGCGAGTGACGAGTGGCGGGTGAGAGGACGTTTTAAGGCTCAACAGCGAAAGAAAATTACACAGATGTGTATGGCGTGAATTGCGCTCGCCTAACATCATAAGACAAGCGAGAATGGCGAACGCCTTTCATCGCAAGGACATTGCCATGCACAGTCCAACCCAGGCGTTAGAGCCTCGCTACAGCGCCATAACCGCCATAGGTGAGCATGGGGTTCATCATACATAACTATGATCCTACCTATGTCTCATGGGCACACAATCACTGACATCTAAACATTTGTTTTGGTTGCAAATGTGATACAGGTGGATTAGTTAGTTAACAAAGTCGTTAGAAGTTAGTGTTTGTTAGGGTTGTTAGCTGGGGTAGCTGTTATAAATACTCTCTCTATCTCTGAAAAGCGAATCAATCAAGAAATGAAATTATATCCTCAAGTCTATCTCTCTCATCTATCTCTCGTGTTCATTTCCGCCATTATTGGTCGTTCAATCTTCTTTGAAGCTCTCCTTCTTCTAAATTTGAGTAGCTTCCTACAAGACTGTAACATTGCTATCAGAACAATTTGATCTCGGGCGCTGATCAGATTCTATCTCAAATCAGGTTTTTGATTCCTGATAGTCGGTCCAGATTTTTGAAGCGTTGATATTGATCAAACCAGGTTTTATCTCAAATCAGTTGACAGATTGATTCATGTTTGCTGTTGATCTCTGATTCTTATTCATTCATTAATCAATCTAACCTAGGCGTGTGCAAAGATCAGAATGGAAGGTGTTCTTAAGGAGATACTCGATCTGCACAGAGATTGGATGGCAAGTCAACTGCTCGAACATCAACGCGCAATGGAGGAACAGTTTTGATTACTCACAATGCCATTGCACAAGCTTCAATCAACAAGTTCCAGCTTCAAAACATCTGCAGGAAGCTCTTCTATGCACATTGAAGGTAGAAATCAATGCCCCTCTAATCCAAGAGACTGGATCAAGAAGTGTGGAAAATACTTTATTTTGTGTGAGGTTCCTGATATGAAAAAGGTGACTCTAGCTTCAAATCATTTGGAAGGAAAGGCTATGATGTGGTTTGAAAGTTATAGACAAACTAGACTTAATGTGGAATGGGAGGATTTCATTGCAGATTTATATGCCAAATTTAAATATGACAGACATGGTGTGTGTTCAAGATTTAGTGGCGAGGCTGATCTTGAGGCAGTGGCTGCTCACCAAACAACAACACCTAATCTTGTTGGGCCACTCAATCATGTGCTTCCAGATAGTGTAAATATTTCATTGGACAATCACCTTGAGGCTGCATGTTTGAAGAAGAATTTTGACACTACTCCTTTCAGGACCAATTCCATTGTTGTGGTCAAAGAAGGCAAACATGAAGCTGTGGAAGCAATTGCTCTTGATGACTCTAAGTCAGTGGATAAACCGGAGTCAGTGGTTGAGGCCAATTACACTGTGAGATATCAATCTTCTAATAGCAAGAGCCAGTTTCCATCACAAAGAAATCCTGCGTTTATACCTGTTGCTATAAGAATTGAGGAAATGGCAAAAGGATGTGGCTAATACTGTGATAAGCCATTGGAGGAAGGACATAAGTGTGAAAGTAAGGTGACTCGGACCTTTCTGATGGGAATTCTAAGAGAGAAAGAAGCTGATAAGTTTGAGATGTCCGATTGCAACCCAATGGCTGACAGTGATCCATCAATGTTAGTCCATGATATTTTTGAACGCAATGGATATCAGATGATAAGGGTCACTGATCAAGTGTGTAACAAAGAAATGCAACTGTTGAGAGAGTCAAAAAGCATTCATAATTCTATAGATTCTAGTCATGCTATAAAAGGGTGGGACACTACCTTGAAACCATTACTGTTTCTAAGGAGGCAGTGGTTGATGAGTACAATTTGCAATGGACACAAGTTTGTAGGGATGTCAAATGTTTCAAATGGCAACTACAAAGCACAGATTTCAATCATGACAGGGCACTTGCCCTTTAGCATAAAAAAAACAGTATACGGAGGAAGGAGCCTCTCATGGGTCCAAGGAAGCAGCTACTATACTTCAACCTTTAGTGGTACTAGTTAGGATAGAGTGGTTGATCCCCTGGGTAGGACAATCAGTGCAAGAGGCAACCTGCAATCACTCAGCCAAGACACAACGGTTAATTCCTTGGGCACAATGGATTCCTATGATCAGCTCCTCCATAGAATGTGATCTTACCAACCAGATTTCAGCTTCCTGGCTTTTGGACAAAAACAGTGCAGATCATTATCCAACGGTTACAAAATTGTTTCACATTACCTCCCTACTCTTGGCAACAACCACATTTGAAGAGAAAAAGGAAGTTGGTTATAAGTCTGGCTCATCTGCTTGGGTACTTAAAAAGGGGAAGCAACTGGCTGGCCAAGAATAACAAGTGAACTTCAGTTTTCAACCTCGAGGACAAGGTTGTCCTAGGGGGGTAGTTACAAGTTAGTGTTTGTTAGGGTTGTTCGCTGGGGTAGCTGTTATAAATAATCTCCCTATTTCCGAAAAGGGAATAAATCAAGAAATGAAATAATTTCTCCCTCAACTCTATCTCTCTCATCTATCTCGCGTGTTCATTTCCGCCATTAATGGCCGTTCGGTCTTCTTCAAAGCTCTCCTCCTTCTAAATTTGAGTACCTTCCTACAAGACTAACAAAATGCTATGTGACAAAGCTCAAATAATGTCTCTTTTAAAGATTGACATACTATCAACATGGCTAATGAATGTTGCTCATTGTTTTTCATTGTTCTTAATTTATCGAAATCCAACAATAACATTTTTTTAAAAAACTACGGGTCACAAATGTTACCAAATACATGAATGATGGTTTTTGAGCTATCGTTTATGGGTCGAGGAATCGTTGACCGTGTGAAAAATGGGTGAATGGCAATCAAGAAAATAGTAAAAAAAGTTAGTTCTGAACAGAGTTGATGTTGTCTGTTGCCCAAATGTGCAGTTTGTTATGACAATATTGTCTCTAGAGTTAGTGTCTCCCTCTAGCTATTTATTTACCTTTTGGGAGTTTTTGGCTTTACTGATGCTGTTAGAACTTAGACTTGCATTAATCTCATCCCCTTTATCTTTATGCAGCATAGTAATATCATCTCAATGCATGTCTATCTAACTTGTTTGACAGAACGGAGTATTATACAGAGAAGTGTTACTATTATTGTTTGTGGTAGGAGCATTTAGAAGCAAGAGTTTTGTTAGGAACAAATTATTTTAGGGCTTGATGTCTACCATATTTAGGGCATGTTTGGGAATAGCGTTAGAGATTAGCGTCAGCGTTTTGAAAAGGCTATCTACGGGCAGCGTTTTCAACAATCTACATCGTTATTTTTTTTATCCAAAACGCTAACGCTAATCTCAACGCTATTCCCAAACAAGCCTTTAGATGATTCTCTATGTCTGGGAAGCATAGAAAAAATGAACAGAAGCAGAATAAATCTTTTCCCTAAATAAATAGGATGGCCGACAAGACTCTATACGACTTATACACTCCACAAAATCAGCAACACTTGGTTTACGTTGGAGCATCAAATCGGAGTAAAAAGTCACGCGACTGTTTAAGGACGACATCAAAACTTCCACTAATTACTAAATCGCCATGAAACAAGTGGATACGAAAAGTTCTTTCTCTGTACCAAATACTAAAGGCAAATATGCAACCTTGGCACAACAGAAATCTACAATATCACCAGATGTGAAGCAAAACATCCAAAAAAAAGTGTAGGCTTGAAAAGCTACTACTCCCTCCGTCTCAAAAATTCCTTCCCCTTTCTTCTTTTAATTGTCATACAAAATCCTTTCTATTTCTATTAAAAAACCACTTTTAACCCTACTAATTTTTAACTTACCTATCATATCATACTTTTTTACTAATAATCTATACATCACATCCTACGTTTACTTATCACATCAATGGTATTTTTGAAAGTCAACACAAAAATATCTCTCCCTTAAATTTCTTAAAAGTCAAAATGGAAACATCTTTTTGGGATAGTAAAAGTAGGAAACTACCTTGTAAGCTTCAAAATGAAAATTTGACTATTGGATATGTAGAAGTGTTTGGCTGTGACTTTTTTATTTCTATTAGCACATCAGCACCATCACGAAGTATTATCATCATGTTGATCATCTTCATGGGTGTCATTAGCATGATTATGAATATCTTTCCCATGATCATGATGGCCTACAACATGGGGAATAGATGGAGTTAGATATGCATGAATAAAGAATTTGCTTGTTTCATCTCACAATATTCAACTATCTAATCTTCAAAGGCAACATCTTTGCTTTTGATAATTTTTGTATCACATGAATCACATATCATGTACCTAAACTTATCATAGAAAATGTACTACATGATCACATTATCAAGCTTGGATCTTTCATTTCTAAGAATATGAACAAAAATACTCTGCACACAAAGACTCTCAAATGCTTATAGGAGACATTTTTCTTGGACTAAACTCTCTAAGGAACATCATGTTCAAGAGGAAATGAAGGGTAAAGTATTATTAGGTACACTGTAGCGAACATTACCTTTGTCCAAAAAGACCTCGACAACTTAACATGAGATAAATAAATCAGTTTCTCGGCATAATAATTCTGTTCATCCTTTTTACAACTACATTTAGGCATTTAGCTAAGGTGTCTTCAGAACTACTTTCTAAAGCTTGACGTCTTGAAACTTACATTAATTCTGAAAAGGGTCCCAAATAAGCATGGTCACCTAGTGCTAGCTAGCGTAACTCCAATATCAATTAAACCAAACTGTGTGCATGTGTGTGTGTGTGTTTGAACCACTAGTTCAACAACTTGAACCATTAGTTCGACCAGTGAACCAGTTCCTTGACTAGTTAGATCACCGGTTTGGTTAAGAAACTATGCTTGTTAGTGATTTGTATCTTATTTTTGACATTACTACATAATGAACACCATATTGTTTCATAATAAATACTACATTGATACAAAATGGATTACATTATTTCAAAATGAATACTCCTTTCCTTCAAAATGAGCACTTATGCTTTGTGCAAAAATGAATACTACTCTATTCCAACATGAGTATTACCCAATTGTACCATATATATATATATATATATATATATATATATATATATATATATATATATATATACGCATAAAAGTGAGATGCAAGCTTAATTTTAGAAGTGTGCAAATCACAATGTAACACAGGATTAATTTTAGATAACAAAAAATTCAAAAAGATGAGAATATTTAATTAAGTTTAAATACGCGTTTGACTTTTTTCTTCTTTCTTAATATGTCTAATTAATCTTTATTTTAATTACTTCCAAAGCGCGCGAGAAATCGTTCAATGCATTGTCATGTGAACTTGAATCAGTCCTTTTTTTGGACGTTTTCTTTTCAACACGTCTTGATAATCATTAACATAGCAAAAAATCTCTATATAAATCATTAAATAAGACTTTTCACTTTTTTTCTCTTTTGACTTTTTTTTTCAAGTTTTACTCCGTAGTTTCATATTTTCAGCATCTTTGAAAAATATTTTCTACTTTGTCATACTCATAATAACTTTTGGAAACGAATTTCAAGAAGCCAACAAATAACTACTGGGAAGGTTCCCATGACATTTCCTGGTAATGTTATGGGATGACTTGGAGTGCTCCGGTGTCTCGTTCGTAAAATGGATAGTTCTTACTCCCTTACTCCCGATAAACCCCTACCCCGCCCCGACTCGATCTAAATTTATACAAGGTAAAATTTTGAATCTAAGTCAAAATTAACTTGTGGGGTGCAATTGAAGCGGGTGAGAGAGTGTGTTCGGGTCGGGACAGAGTGGGGGTTCTCTGGGAGGTTAGGGGGTAGGAACCGTCAATTTTACGAACGGGCACCGGAGCACCCTCGGATCATCCCATGACATTGGGAACCCCACCATAAAACTACTCCTATTTTATCATTATTTTGTCGGTTGGATTTTATCAACAAAAAAAATCAATGCTAAAAACTCTATTATAATCATAGTGTCTGTTCATATATATTTATTTTTGTCAATTTTTTACTCGCTTCTTCCCAAATTAAATTACATGTTTACTATTCACAGAGTCAAACTTCATTCACTTACTTTTCTCTTTTTCAGCAGTCATTTGATAAAATTAAGTAGTCATATTACCGCTAGTTTTGTAGATCTTCAGATGTAGTATTTTAGTATGTCATTTTTATTTTTATTTTTAAATCATTTTTCATATAAAATGGTTTGAAAATAATTTCAGTTAAACATTATAAACCAAAATAGGTAATATAAATTGGAACGGAGTATATCATTTATACTAAAAATTGACAAATTGTTTTAGAACATACTCCCTAGTGATTTTTTTATCTTCTCAAGTTACACAAACAGATGAAGCTTACTATTTCAGAACGTATAACAATTATATTCAGTTTTTAATCTTTATAGTCCGTTTGGATGGTGAGAAATGGGAGAGAATGAAAAGAAAAGGAGAGAAAATACATTTTTTGAGGTGTTTTCTTCTAAGGATAAAAATGACATTTTATTGTACTCCCTCCGTCCCAAATTATTTGCCACATTTGTATTTCCAAGGCAAAATATCAAGTTTTTTCAATTCATTTTATTTACATATTGGTATAGAAATAAAAAATAAAATTTACATATAAAAAAACTACATGAAAAGTTATTCGAAATAAGAGGTGTCAAGAATATTTTATTTTATCAAATAACCAATGAAAACGTCGAAATAAACAAAAGTTTCCGCGGCTGCTGAAAAAGCAAATGTTGTGAATATTTAGGGACGGAGGGAGTATCACATTTTCTTTTCTCTCTTTTCTGTTCATTTTCTATTCATCTAAAGGTGGGGTTACTTCTAGCGTGTAGGGCTTCAATTGTAATGTGTTGTATTGAACATTTCTCCACTTTGTTTGAAACATGTCATAGTGACCCATAATTCAGAAAAGTCAAACTATACAATTGGTATGAATATAAAAAATACTACGTATTAAAAATGTACCCCTTCCATTCCAATCAGGGGCGTGGGGTGCCCATAGGCAGGTGAGAGAGCGTTCATCAGGTGCATCAGGACCCAAAGTTCAAGAAGATCCATTTTATAAATTATTCTTCTATTATTAAAATTTATGTTTGGATTATAAAAAATTTAAAAAATATCTTAGAAAGTGTTGGAAAGTAAACAATGTATGTGGCTATTGTGGTGATTGTTTTAAGGAATGAAATGAAGAAACACGAAATTTTGAAGACCCAAAAACTCACAAATAATAAATTTGTGTATTTTTTGACTTTTGTGTTAGAACATTCTCTTGTATTTGAGCCTTAATCCAGTCAAATACCCTGATACTTCTTATCAGACTACAAGTAAGACAAAATAGAAAGGAATACTAATATATCTTCAAGGCCTCAAGGGTAATTACATAAAGATTCTTACCACAAAGTATTACCGAGTAAAACAAATATCAATTCATTCAAGTTATCTTCCAATCAAGAATTAGGCCAAATAAAAATCTAATACTCCTTTTGTCTGGGAATAAACTTTTCAATCTACTTTTTTTTAGTTTGAAAAAAAAATTCTCATTCTACTTTTTCTACCCACTTTTTCAAAAATACTCCTCTCATTAAATCTCATTCATTACTTCTAACTATACCTCCCCTTCATTCACTCTATCGTCAATCTCAACCAACCTCATTCGCTCCTCTTCCTATCTTATCCTATCTCAACTGTTTGGTTCCTTTTCAAATCCTACATCACTTTTTCATTCCCGAGATCAACAATGGATTTGTACCATTTACGCTATGAATCCTTTATTCTGGAGAAGGAGTTTGAAAATGGTGGAGCTGAATAGCCTTGAAGGTTAAATAGCCTGTAGAATAGAGGACTAATCTTGTGTATTTGAATGAAATCCCAAAAATTTGGGTGGCATTCCAAAAAATGGAAGGGAATGCCTAAATTTTGTTATGTAATCCTTAGTTTGAAGAATGAATCCATACTTATGTAATGAGTAAAATAGTGTAATTGTTGTACTTTCCTTAAAAGTGGTTTGACCTCCCTCTTTTTCCTCATAATTTTTTTATTAAGGGTAATTTAGGCAACTCATGCCTTAGCCAAGCACCCACTAAAAATGAAGAAAAGTCAAAGTGAGAAGTTTATTTCGGGACATATGTAATACTCGTAATATTTTCTACTCTAACCTAAATTTTTCACATTTTTTGTTTGAAACGAAATTTCGGAATATAATTAACCTCCTAAGACCATGCGGTGTGTCATGCGGGATGCCTGGTGGCACAGAAAGGAAAGGGGAACACCGCTCCCTGTGCGGGAATGGGGTCCCCCATCCCGTTTTTACCGTCTGATTTTGCTTCTTCATTCTTTCATTTTTTTGCTTCTTCATTCTTTCATTTTTTTTGGGGTTGCTTCTTTCTTTATCTTTTTTGTTGCTTTTTTCCATTTTTTTAGTTTTTTGTTCATTTTTTAAATTTTTTTTGTTGCTTTTTTCCATTTTTTGGTTTTTTTTCATTTTTAAAATTTTAATTTTTGAATTTTTTTGTTTTTAAGTTTTTTTTGAGTTATTGTGAGTTTGTATTATGTAATTGTATTTTATATATTTAGTTTAATAAAATTAAATATTAAAAAATAATAAAAAAATTGAAAAAGTAAATTTTTATTGTTTTTATGTTTTTAGTTTAATTTTAAAATTAAATAAATATTAAAGAATAATAGTAAAAATTGAAGGAAAAGAGGGAAGGCATTCCTCTCAAAGGGGAAGAGAAGTTGAGAAGGACAAGGGAAAGTAAAAGCTAACGTGTAGCAAAGTTGGAAGAAGGGGAAGAAAAGAAGAGGGAGAGCATATCGCATGCCTAAGGCCTTACGGTGTAGATTATCATAGTGCGAGCTCTTATTTTATAGATAAAAGTTGGAGTTCTTATTATATTCCGTATTAAAAATAACTGTAATCAAACATCATAAACTGAAGCCTTATTTGAGAACAATGTTTTTCGATTAACGATAACGTCTTAAATAAAATTTTAATGATATGGATTAATTTTAAAAATGTTAACGCTATAAGTTATTGTTGGATAAGTTTCTCAAAAATGCTAACACTGATCTTCAATGTTGAAGAAAAATGGAGCTGAATCAAACAATTTAAATTTGGATTAAGTTATATATACCCCAAGTTTCTGTACCCCACTTTGTAATTTTTGTTAACGCACCAACACTTTGTACTCCCTCCGTCCCAAAAAGTTTGTTACGTTTAGAAAAAATTGCGTCCCGTAAAGTCCGTTACATTTCTATTAAAAAACTACTTTTACCCCTTAGTTTTTCATACCGTACCTATCACATCATACCTTTTTCCTAATAATCTACCCATCACATCTGATGGTGTAAATATAGATGGGTGGGTTGACCGAATCTGACCTGGACACACTCGACCTGTAATATAAAACACACAACAAGAACACAAAGTATGACCTAGACCGGGTAAATCTCCTCAGTCCGAATTATATTTCTTACTCTGTCTCAAGAGTGTACTAAGTTTTAGTTAGATAAAGAATGGATCCCCTCCTCTATGCAATATCATCATATTTATAGAGGACGATTTGTGACCTTCCCCTGTTCATCCATGGACAAAATAGGAAGCTCGTGGGAAGGTCACTGTAGTTAATGGAAGCACTGCACAATCATAGACTTGCTACTAATACAACCAAAAAGCACTGTTCAATCAATGACTATAACATGTATATTCTCAATCCAATCAGCCGTGCAAGATGACAAACATCCCTTTCACTGTACGCCTCGTGATGGATGAGCGGCGGGGTGGTCTCTCGGTCTTTTGACGTGGTTCACCATGACTAAGAGACTGGACCAATGTTAGCCAAGTAATGTGGTATGACCGGTCACCTTTTCTTAAAGGTTAACCGATCATTTCTTGAGCTCAACCCGTCTCTTTGGTCTTCCGGAATATCCTTCGTAACATTAGGTGACATTTTGGCTATCGCCCAAAATGTGACCGGTCACTTTTTTAGTGGAAGTGACCGGTCAACTTTTGACCCGTCCCAATCGAAGAGTTAACCTCATTTGGTGATTGATAAAAGTGACCGGTCATACTTTGACATGTCCCTTTCGGTATTCCGGGTCGGGTATAGGGATATACCCATCAACATCCTACTTTTACCCATCACATCAATGGTATTTTTGGAAAGTCAATACCAAAATATTCCTCTCTTAATTTCCCAAAAAGTCAAACCGTCCCATTCTTTTTGGGACGGAGGGAGTGCATAACTATAGTGTATAAATAGAATACTCCCTCCGTCCACCTACGATCTTCCCATTACGCGTTACGAGGCTTGACCGACTTTATTTTTAATTCAATTTAATTGATTAAATGAGTAAAATTTTAAAATAAAATTTATATAGTAATAAACTGCATGAAAAATTCTACAAAACTAGAGGTGACAAGACTATATTATTTTACGAAATGACTAGTAAAAATGAGTAAATAAAGTGAGTAATTTTTGACCCTGTGAATAGTGTCTGGGAAGATCTATGGTGGACAGAGGGAGTACATTTTTTGGTGTAAGTGTAACATGTTTGTTTAAAGAAAAATGCTAGGGGTACACCAAAAGTGTACCCCATATGTCCCCCACCCCCTCCTTGTCCACTAAAAAAGGCAAAAAAATTTAAAAAAAATAAATAAATAAAAATCAAATAAAAATGTGTGGTAGAGAATGAGGTAGTGTACATTTGGGGTACACCTTTTGGTGTACTCCTAGCATTGTTCTTGTTTAAATTTAGACCTAAATACTAGACTCCTAATGTTGCTTGAAAAATATTGACATGGTATGGAGACTAATCATTATAGTGTTGGGCATTGTTGGTGACACCTGTCGGCTGCTCACATTGTACACGTATACCCACATATCCCATGTTTATCTCCCTCTCTTTCTCTCTCCATCTCCCCACTTCCTTCCTCCTTCCCGCCAAAAGTGCAGGATTTTAGGGGGTTCTCAAGATTCCCTCTTTATCGGATCACCCATATATGATTACAACTATCCATTAGCTGTCCCCTCACAGAAATTAGGAATATTAATACTAAATTTTAAATAAAACATATTCTTTCTCTTCACCAAAGTTTCCCTTTTTTACTATTCAAAAATATCCAATAATGTTTATTTCGGTGTACCTTTTTATTAGTCATTTGATAAAATAAACTATTCTTATCACTCCCTCTATTCCTAATTTGATTACGATTTTTTTCGCTCTCCTTTCGATAACTTTGTTCGTTTACACGATTTCATTAGATCTTGATAAAATAAAATATTCTTATTCTATCTTGTTTTGTAGAACTCTTGACCGCCTTGGCGTAGTTTGTTCATATGTAATTTTTAATTTTTATCGATTTATCGATTTGTAAATATAATGATTTTTAAAAGTAAAATATTTTTCCTCGTAAACCCTAATTTATAATTAAATTAGGGACGGCGGGAGCACTATTTATTTTGTGAAACTATAGATGTGGTTTTTAAATATATAAGTTTTATTTTTTATTTTTATACCAACTTGCAAATAAATCATTTTGTAAAAGATGAGGTTTTGCACGTAAAAATGAAATAGAAATACTTTTGGTGAACAGAGAGAGTAGAACATATACCAACATAAGTATTTCATGTTTTTATTCTTAAAATAGATAGAAATTAAAATGCATATATAATATCAATCATAACAATATATAATATTTTTACACCCCTAAGGGTGATTAATCATTCTAGTTTAATTTTACAAAACTTAAATAAAAATACAGAGTATTAAATACAGTTATTTTGGAACAAAACTAAAAAACAAAACGATTTGTTTAGGAAGGAAAAAGTATTTTTGGAATACCCAAATACCCATTTCTTGTCTCATTCTTTTTTGGATCAAGTCTGATTCTTTCTTCTTCTCCACCATACATATAATCGCCTCTGGGTTCTGACACACAACCCACAAATCTCTCTCGTTTTTTTTGTTTCGTCCGAGGACGATGCTGGGATGTCGGTCCGTACAGTTTCGGGTCTTTGTTCGGATGATTTGAGTCGATTCTTGGGTTGAATTGAAGGGGGTTATGGGCGGGTTTCCGTGGAAGAAGGCGAAGGGCACCGCCAGAATTTCGCAGATGGTGAAGGATCAATTCCGCCGCCGTAAGACCGCCGCATCGCCGCTCCTCGTCCAGACCGGCTTCCCCACTTCCCTCGTCGATCTCATCCTCAAAAACCACGAACGCTTCAACATGCCCTCCGGTCCCCCTAAAAGGAAACCGCCCCCGCCGATCCGAACCGGCGATCCGGATTTCTCGCACCCCTCGCCGCCGGTTTCGCCGCTCAGAATCCCGATATCCTCCACGGACATGGACGGAAGTGATAATCCGGCAACCAATTCGAATTGGGTACTTTCTGCCCTTCTGAAGATCTTCATGCTGGTAGTTTTGGCTCTCGGAACTAAGAAATTCGCCGCCGGAATCACATTATCGGCGTTCTTTCTGTTCTTTCTCGATTACTTGGCCAGAAACGTGTTCCAATTCCAGATCTTGGCGACTTTCAGGCGATTTATCACTAGTCAAGTTGTTAGAGATGATGGAAAAGACCATCCAATTGAAGAAATCCAAGTTGTTGAGGATCTTCCTTTCAAGGAAATCGACGATCCATCTCTCGTCGGCAAAGAATTTGAATCCGAAGGGACACAATTTGTGGCCGAGATGATAGGGGAAGACGATGGAGCATGTGAACTCTCCCAATCCAAGAGGCGAAAGTCTCGGAGGGCAAAAATAAGATCAAAAATGAAGAAACTTTTCCATTCGAGGAAGGGAATACGAAAAGGCCCAAAAGCCGAGTCGAACCCAACCGGAGAAGCCGAGTCGAATCCAACCGGAGAAGCTGAGTCGAATCGAGCCGAGTCGAAAGATACTTTTCAAGAAATTCCTCATTCACATGAGGGTGAAGTGGAGACAACTCTAGTCATCATCAAGCAAAATGTGGTTGAAAGGAAGGGGAATTATGGATACATGGTTCTTGTCATGGTTGCTCTTCTTGGGCTTGTTATGGGAGGAAAGATTTATGCCCTAACTTTTACCTTGACATGGTGTTTCTTGTCGAAATGGTCCGTTTTTCGGAAACGGTCTCTCCAGCTATACAGTTAACGAAATCGGGCGTCTTCTGAAGACAGACATTTATACAGTTAAAGGTAATGTCAGAGACATTTTATACCGTTACGGGCAATGTTTGTGTACACATATGCTCCCCACTCCACTTCTGGGTTTTGGTGGTTGTTATGGTGCTTCTTGTCAATGCCAAACAAAGCTACATTGAGAGGTCAAAGGGGGTTTCTTTGTGAGGATGAGATCAAGTCAAGAAATATCTATGTTCCACAATGAAATCAATGGCAGGCTTTGTTTCATGGAAAGCAAGCAGCAGAAATTTGGCACTCTTTTTTGTCATAATGTTGTTTGCTTTTTTTGTGGAATTCTTTTTTTTTTTGGTATTTAGCCAACAACCCCTTAGCTTTTGGTGCAATCTCCAGCCTTTGGTTGGTGTTTGTTTGTAACATGACATGTAAATTTACATACCCAAAGATTTACTGTTCTAACAAATCTTCTTGAATCAAATGTCATTTACCCATCAAAAGTTCTCCATTACCATTTTTGCCCCTAGATTTTTTTTCCCTTTCACAACTGTGATGTTATTGTGTATTCCTCTGTCTTAAAATTTTGTTCCATTTTCATTTTTTATAAACAAATTCTTAATGTGTGTGTTCTCTGTCTCATAATTTTGATCTTCTTTTCCAATTGATGTGTGGCAAAACTTTATTCCATTTTCAATTTTTTTTTGAGAAGTTTTATATAAAAAAAGTCGGGGGAAAAAATCTTGAATCTATTGTCCAATGTCCATGTATTTTCTTCCCTTAAATAATTTTAGCCATAAAATATTCACTTCATAAAAAATTGCGTCAAATTAAAACATGGGACTAAATTAATGTCAATGTCAAACATGAGCTTAGTTTAAATAGAAATGCTAGGGGTACACCAAAGGTGTACCCCATTTGTCCCCCACCCCCTCTTCTACCACATAAATGGGCAAAAAACTTAAAAATAAATAAATAATTAAAAATAAAATACAAATATGTGGTGGAGAATGGGGTGGGGGACAAATGGGGTACACTTTTGGTGTACCCCTAGCATTGCTCTAGTTTAAAACATGATAGAAACACATTCTGTAGTCCCTATGACTTGTTTAGACAGTTATCCAAAAAGAAGTAAATTAAACGTTAATATTAGATTCGAAAAGTTCATATGTTACGTATGGTCATTTTAAATCGATGTTATCAAGAATCAAAATTCGGTCATCGTCTCTTTTATACTTTTATTAATCAACTAAGCTATGTCTCGAATAAATATAAACAGAACTCAGGGAAGGGGAGAGAAGGGCATATACATTAGACCATGTGTTATGGGGTGTGAGGAGGGACTTGACCACCCTCCATCACGCCCCTCTTTCGTAACACATCAAGTGTGAGTGGGCATTGCCCCAAATGGTTTGACGGTTTGACCACCATCACGTAAGGATGACTTCTCCCTCTTCTAATTTTTCTTTTAATTTCAACCAATTAAAGTTTAACACATATTCACATCTCATCACGTTCTTTCACACACACAATAACATATAATTTTCATCACTCTACATTATATATTTTTACACTCCGTTAAGTCTCGTCAAGCGATCGCCATAATTAACTCATAGCTTTACAATAAGGATGAAGCATTGGATTTCATCTTATCATATATGACTGTATGATAAAGTTGCATTTTGTTGAAATGGTCTAATCTTTGTTAGGGAGACAACCAACATTTTTCATGTGAGGCAGCTTTAGCTATCAGTGCATGTGTGTGCATTCATGAGTTGTGACACTTGTCTTGCTTTATTCACAAATTGAACGAGAAGTCACAAATAATATATCCCACTAAAGCATTAAAAAAAGGTTTTTTAAAAGGTTCTAGCCCAAGTATTAAGAGAGGTAGGGGAGGTTATTTTTTAATCAAATACTTCATCCATTCACCTAAGATCTTCTTCTTACGTGTTACGAAACTTGACTGATTTTATTTTCAATTCAATTTATTTGATAATAAGAGTAAAATTTTAAAATAAAATTTATGTAGCAATAAACTACATTAAAAGTTCTACAAAGCTGGAAGTGCCAATAATATATTATTTTATGAAATAAGTAGTAAAAATAAGCAAACAACATGAGTTAAATTTGTCCCTGTGAATAATATCCAGAAAGATCTATGGCACACAGAGGGAGTAAATTTTTTTACAATCCGTTCTCTTCTCAATGTAAGTTCTCAGTTTTCTTCTATAGTAAAATATTTCCTCCCTTTAGAATTAATTTATATACCCCAAGTGATTTTTTTGGGTGTCCAAAAAAATTACAAACCTTTAATTTTTACTTTCCTAATAAAGTAAAAAAATGGAAAAATTATCTAGAATAATCTCAATTTTACAAAGCCTTTTAAAATAATCTCATATTTCATTGTGATGCTTAATAATCTTAATTTTATTAAAATTTGTGAGTTTTGGATCCTCATTAAGTTGTTAATGGCAGGTTAATGGAAATGACTTGTTTTGTGCAAAAATGAAAGTCAGGCTTATTTTTAATGAATTCTTGTTTTTTTATTTTTTATTTGAACTCTTCATTTAAATTTTAAAAAAAGACTTTATACGTCAATCATTTCTTTTTCTTTTTTTAAAGATTAGTCTTACTTAATAAAAAAAATAGATATAAAAAATAATGATAATGAAAAAAATAACTATAACCATACAAAATTAATAAAATTAATAAGGTAATCAATATAAACTAACATGAAATTGGTAAGAAATAAAATAAAAATATATGGAGTGGTGGTTTTATCATTTTACGTACTATACAAAGTATTAACGTACCACTTCTTCTTATTTTTTAGGAAATAATATCTGGAATAATCCTTTTTTTTATATATTCTTCCAAAAAATAAGTGGTATATTAATACTCTGTATAGTACTTAAAGTGTTAGAACCCACCACTCCTTATATTTTTATGTTATCTCTTACCAGTTTGAGTTTAATTTCTATTTATTACCTTATTTATTTCATTAATTTTGTATGATTTTAGTTATTTTTCTCATTTTCATTATTTTTTATATCTAATTTTTAGTTTTTTTCAAAGGTAAGACTAATCTTTAAAAAAAAGAAATGATGGTAGAAAGTCATTTTAAAAATTTAAATAAAAATTTCAAAAAAAAAATAAAGAACAAAAGATCATTAAAATAATCTCAACTTTCATTTTGTCGCGCAAAACAGGTCGTTTCTGTTAGCAAATTAACGCCGACCAAAAACTCACAAATTTTATTAAAATTAGGTATATTTTGCGTCATAATAAAAATGAGATTATTTTTAAAAGATCGGGTAAAGTTGTGATTATTCTGGATAATTTTTACAAAAAATATGTGTTCACATTTCTTCTCTTTTCTTTTAAACAAATTACAACTTAATTTTTTTAACCAATGTTACCCCTTTTAATTTTTCCTTGAGAGGAAAATAATCCTGCTTAGGCCCCGTTCCGTTCAACTTATTTTTTCTTATTCTTATTATAATCAGATTAGATCAGATCAGATCGGACAGATCAGATCGAATACAATCAGATCATATCAGATCGAATCAGATCAGATCGGATCAGATCCAATCAGACAAGATCAGATCCAATAAGTTCAAATTAGATCAGAACAGGTCCAATCAGATCAGACCAGATCATATCAGATCAAATCTCATCAAGAATTATTATTATTATTATTATTATTATTATTATTATTATTCTATACATTGATTATCTAAATTTAATTACATTTTAATGTATATATAAATTAAATATTTATTCTAATGTATATATGAAGTAATTATTAAAATATTAAATTAATATTCTAATTTCACAAAAAAATAATCATAAAATAAAAACTATTATTATGTTATAATATGAATCAATATTTTAATATATGAATTAACTAATTTTATTTTATTAAAAAATAATCATAAAATAAAAAATATTGATTATATTATAATAGTATGAATTATCATTACAATTTTCAAACGTTATTATAAAGTCAAATCAAATTATTGATTTCAATTTTAAATCAAATCATATTTAATTTGATTAGATCAGATCAGATCAGAACTTATTAAAATCAGATCAGATCAGAAAAAATAAGTTGAACGGAACGGAGCCTTTAATCTCAGAGCTTCACCTTCATCCACATTTATCATGTTTTGGGATTAGAAGAGAGAAAAATTTAAAGCAAATTATTTTTCCCCATTTATTTATAAACACATTTATGTTGGAGTATTATTTTCTTTAAGGCAAATTTTAACTATTTTTCTAAACATGAGAAATAAAAGCATATGTCAAAATTAGACCGTTGGGACTTATATTTAAAAAAAGACGAGTTTAATCCAGGCCCAAACGAACCCGACCCAATTACAAACAAGTTGTTACTCCGTATTTAGATGCGCTGGCCTGGTCGAGGCGTCCAGCTTTCAATGGACGGGAGTGGGGTAAAAAATTGCTGCTGGGTACCCCCAATTTTGTAATAAGAATTCGCAGGTCCCATTGTTTTTCAAAATATACTCCGAGGTACCTTAAGATATTCAAAAACTGACTCCGGGGTGACAATCCGTCACTCTCTCCATTAATATCCCTTCTATGTTATCTTCTTGTTCTTCTTCTTTTCTCCTCTTGTAAAATTTGCACTAAATAGGACTAAAACATAATGACTTTCCCAATGTAGGACTTAAACTTTTTTATTCCATAAATAAGACTTAATAATGACCTAGTGGAAGGAATAATGTAAAGTAATGATGAACATTTACTTGAATAATGACTACTTGATAATGACCAAAAGTCCTACATTGGGAAATAAAAACATATGGTCCTATATTGGGAAAGTCATTATGTTTTAGTCATATTTAGGTAAATTTCTCTCTTCTTCTTCTTCTTCTTCTTCTTCTTCTTCTTCTTCTTCTTCTTCTTCTTCTTCTTCTTCTTCTTCTTCTTCTTCTTCTTCTTCTTCTTCTTCTTCTTCTTCGCCTTCGAGTTTGACCTCCATCCCCCCCCCACCCCCGTTTTTTTTCTTATTTTACTTTTTGTTTTGTTTTTTTCTTCTTCTATTATAATTATTATTTTCTATTACTTATTATAATTACTTCATATTAATTATTATTTTCTTATTCTATTATTATTATTATTAATTTTTTAATTTATTATTATTACTATTATTATTAAAAATTAATTGTTAGTTTTACAACTCTTTTCTATAAAAAAAAAAACTAATTATTATTTAGAAAAATAGCACTTATTATAAAATAAAACTTATTAATAATACTGTTATTTATTTTAAAGCAATTAATTAGTAATTTTACTTCTGTACTTTTTTATAAAAATACAACTAGTTATTATTATTACTTCATATTTTATTAGTTATTGTTATTTTATTATTTTTTATTATTATAATAATTATTTACTATTATTATTTTATTTAATTACTCCGTAGTATTTTTACTACTCTAACTTTTTTTATTAGTTTTACTACTCTAAAGCATTAATTGAAAATTACTTTTACTAATATATTTACGTATCATTAAATAAAATTAAAATTATTTATTCACTTGGTTATAAATTATACGTCGTAATTCATAATAATATAAAATTTAACACTATTTTTATTGTTTCATATTATTTTTACAAAAATCCAGAGGTACTTATTCATCTTATTCTTTTCTCAAGTCTTCTTATTTTCTCGATTTACTGTGACACCACTACCAATGGCGACTACCAATGACTAATGCAGAGTACTATTTTTCTAAATAATAATGATTGTTACTCCATATTTCTTAAAAATAGAGTACTAAAATTACTACTCCGCAATTAATTTTTTAATAATAATTAAGAAAATAATTAGGAATAAATAATATTATCTCCGTCTCGGAGCATATGTGAGGTTTTGACTTTTTTATAACCGTTTTAAACTTTTGACCTATAATTAAATAAAACATATATTGTATATTAATTCGAAAAAGTAATATTTTGAAAATATTTTATATATTAAATCTAATAAAACTATTTTTGTATCAATATCTAATATTATTTTTTTAATATAGGGTTAAATTTTATCAATTTTAACCGAAAAAATAAAAAGTACACAAATACTCTAGAATAGATCGAGAAGTAATTAATATGAAGTAGTAATAATAATAACTAGTGGTATTTTTATAAAAAAAGTACAGAAGTAAAATTACTAATCAATTGCTTAAAATAATTTATAGTATTAATAATAAGTGTTATTTTATAATAAGTGCTATTTTTCTAAATAACAGTTAGTGTTTTTATAGAAAAGAGTGGTAAAACTAACAATTAATTTTTAATAATAATAGTAATAATAATAAATTAAAAAATTAATAATAATAATAGAATAAGAAAATAATAATTATGAAGTAAGTATAATAATTCATAACAAATAATAATAATTATAATAGAAGAAGAAGAAAAAAATAAAACAAAAGGTAAAAGAAGAAAAAAAAACGGGGATCGGCGGAGGAATGGAGGTCACACTGGAAGGCAGGAGCAAGAAGAAAAAAAGAAGAAGAAAAGAAGAAGAAGAAGAAGAAGAAGAAGAAGAAGAAGAAAAGAAGAAGAAGAAGAAGAGGAAAAGAAGAAGAAACAGAAGAAGAGGATAACGAAGAAGGAATATTAACCGAGAGAGTGACGGATTGTCACTCCGGAGTCAGTTTTTGAATATCTTAATGTACCTCGGAGTATACTTTGAAAAACAATGGGACCTGCGAGTTCTTATTACAAAATTAGGGGTACCCAGCAGCAATTTTTTGGGAGTGGGGAGGTCCCCATAGTTTCCAAATCTACTTGTATTCGATCTATGGATATTTCTTCGTTTTAGAGTATGACTATTTTGGTTTGATTTTACAAATTTTCATAATTATTGAAAAAATATTCCTACTACATAGGGTTAGGCCATTGATATTTATTTTGAGTGTTAACCGATGACATCAATTCCAATTAGAGGGTGTATGATGCTTCGCTGGTGGTGTTGATGGTTAACTTATATCTCTAACTTTGTAGTAAATCCTGAAAACTTACACAGGTTGTCTATCAAGCAAACTAAACACGCACAACGCATACTTCACAGTGATTCACATTTCACACCTTGTTGGAGCACAAGTCAAAGATGACACTCAATGCGATGTAACAACCTCTGAGTCACAAATAAGCAATTAAGAGAAACAAGACAGACAGCAAATTATTTACGCAGTTTAAAGCAATATTTCTTACATCTGCGAGACCACACGTATGTGTAATAGACTTTCCATTAAACCATAGTAGGGTTTTTACCTTAACACCAATAATAGACACGATCTATGTATCAATATAAACTATTATTAAATGGTTTGACAATAAACTCGGTTTGTGCACAAATACCTCAGTCTGTTACATCTCTTCTTAGAATTCCTCAAAAAACGTGTTGATGGCCTTCGATCCAAAACGACACAGATTACCTTCTGGACTGCTTCCTTTGTCTTCTAAGCAGCGTCACATGTTATAGTTGACAACCAGTCATCATCATGTAAAGTAGCATATTCTCATGAAGAATAGCATGATGATGGCTCTCTTTAATATGAAAAACTCTCTCGACCGTAGAATAATATTTCTTGCTAGTTATCCCTTTTTCTGATCTAGAACTCTATTACCAAGAGTTCTACCTTCAGCGAAACGTTATCCACAAGAGTTCTAGCTTCAGCAGACCATTATCTTCAAGAGTTCCAGCGAACCCTGAATCCTTTTTGTAAAGGGAAGCACGAAGCATATAATAACTTGACTCTTTAATACTTCCTCCGTCCACAAATAAATTTTTCGTTGAAGTTATTTTTATATTATTTTATATTATTTTTGATTGAAGTTATTTTTATATTATTTTATATGAAAAATGATGTAAAAGTTTAAAAAAATTACATATTAAAAAACTATATCAAAAGATCTACAAAACTAGAGGTGACATGACTACATTATTTTATCAAATGGGTGACGAAAATAGGTCAACAAAGTGAATAAAGTTTGATCATGCATGTAAATAGTGAACGATGAGTTTATTTGTGGACGAAGGGAGTATTTGAAAGTGACGGACAAGATGCTACAACTCTATACTCAAAACGGCTAATAACATACGACTACATTAGTTTTATATAAAAAATAAGTGAAATTTGCATTAAATAGGACTAAAACATAATGACTTTCCTAATCTAGGACTTAAACTTTTTTATTCCCTAAATAGGACTTATTAATGTCTTAGTGGACGGAATAATGTCCAGTAATGATGGACATTTATTTAAATAATGACTAATTCATAATGACCAAAAGTCTTACATTGGGAAATAAAAACATATGGTCTTATATTGGGAAAGTCATTATGTTTTACTCCTATTTAGGTAAATTACTCAAAAAATAATGCCGACCAGAATTATAACATAAGAGGACACAACGACCTAGGGAACCAACAAATCCCTCATCGCGGCCCAAGCCCAACCTAACCCTTTGAATTTCATCTTCTAAATTTAGTTGATTGTGAGGTCAATTTTTTAAAAATAAATACATAGAACTCATATTTTGAGATAAGAATAATGTTTACTCCTATTTTGGATGATTTCATATCTCAATATTAATGTCGTAATTTGATTTTTGTGTTCTTTTATTACAAATTAAATATAATTTTTAAAAAATTAATATTATAAAAATTTAATCTATCAAATTGTTTCTTTAAATGACTCTTATTATATTAAATTTATATTATAATTAAATATAAATTTAGTTTCATGTAGGGGCAAGGTATACTACACACACCTTCTCCCGACTTTTTTCTTCGTGAGATATAATGAGTTGTTGGTGGTGTTGCTGTATACTTTGTTCATAACGTGTAATCTAAGATTTTGTTCTCTTCAATTTATTCTTTTTATTTATTACTCATTCTTATTGAAATTAAATCAGATTGGAATAGCTTTGCATATAACTATAATCATTTCAGATCAGAACTTAATCAAATCATATCAAAACCAAATAGATCGATAAGTTGAAGGGAATAAACCCTAAGCCAAACTAAGATAATGATTTCGCGAAAGTATTTTATGCTCGCGTGGCATACTCAAGTTAGGGTCCGTTTGGCATACGGAATTGATGGAATTCGAATTGAATTGAAATTGAAATTCCACGGGATTCAATTCCATAGAATTGAATTCTGCCAATTCCAATTTTATTTTTTGCACTACCAATTCCAAATTCACATAATTTTTGTACTACCAAACACTTGAATTGGAATTGAAGTGCTCAATTCCATAGTTTGAATTCCTTATACCAAACGGGACCTTAGTTTTAGAATGAGTAAAATTGCTACCATGCATAAGGTTTGATTCCCAAAATATGTAGTGTGGGGGCAACATTCAATGACCCAATTTGTAGTCATTAAGAATAGTTTCCTTGCATGTTTGTGGGAGAGACGTGGGCGAGAGAGAAATGGGTGGGGGACAAATGGGGTGTACCCCTAGCATTACTCTTCTTGTTAGAAAAATGCTAGAGGTATACCAAAGATGTACCCCATTTGTCCCCCACCCCCTCCATTCCCACAAAAATGGGCAAGAAATTAAAACAAAATTAAATGAATAAAAATGGAGTAAAAATGAGTGATGGAGAAATGGGTGGGGGACAAATAGGGTACACCTTTGGTGTACCCTAGCATTGCTCTTCTTGTTAGGCTTCTGACTTACATCTCTTAAATTACTTTATTAGGCCGAAATTTGGGAACCCTTAAAGTTGAGATTCAATCTTTTTGGAACGAGGGAAAGTATTTTAAGTGCCGATTTAAAAATAGCATTTTTGATTAGCGTTAGCGTTTTGGATAAAATTTTAATGGTATAAATTAACTTTAAAAAAAAACTAAAGACATTTTTCAAAGCGCTAACCTCTCACGCTATTTCTAAAAATGTCCTAAGAAAATTGAACAAATAATTGGTGAGCATGAAGTGAGGAAAAAATTTCCATCATCTCGGATGGAGCCAAAATTTCACCATTTTTGGCTTTGGGATATGATGGAATAAATCAAAATGGATCTCTAAACTGTCTGTGCTTCTTTAATTAATGAAGTAGCAGTTAGTTAAGCAATGCAACTTTCGACGTTGAGCCGGGGGTCTCTTTGGAAACAGCCTCTCTACTTTCGAGTAGGGGCAAGGTCTGCGTACACACACCCTCCCTAGACCCTACTTTTGTGGGATTTAACTGGGTTGTTGTTGTTGTTGTTTTTGAAGTGAGGAAAAAGTTGCATGCACATCCCACCCCCACTCTGGCACACTGCCCCCCCTCTGCTTGGTTATCACCGCCTCCGCTCGCTAAATTCTCGAGACCTCAACAATCTTTTACGGAGTAGATCTCACGCGAATATTTGTCTTTCAGGTTATCCCTTTTCATCATCATCATATCATCTGTTCTTCCTTTTTCTTGAACTGAATTTAAATCCCCTGTTTCCATTTATTCTCGGAATTTGAACTTTGGAATGGCAATTGAATAAATAGATCGAGTGAGGAGGGAGCACGCAGCATTTTGGATTGTCTAGCGAGATTTGTTCCCTGATTTGATTTAATTTGATTTTTCATACCAGCTTTCTTCTGAGTCCAACCATGGTTGCGCAGGAATTCACCGTGGATCTGAATAAACCCCTTGTCTTTCAGGTCAAAATAGCATTCCTTTTGCTGCAAATTCTATGTGTCCTTGCCTGTCCCCAATCTCTGATATCATAAGGGTTTGGTCTAATTTTTATCTTTCTTTTAAAACCCACTTCATTACGGAGTACTTTATTTTTTTTAGTACTCCATAGTGAATATGTAGTTCACAAGATTTGTATTGTGGGACTACATAATTTTCACTTTTCTTAAACTCATACTCGGTGTAAGTTGGAGTTTAAGTCAAACAGGTAATGTTTTTTTGGGAGAGGGAGTACCAATGAGAAATGCTAGAATCACAAACAAAGAAGTCGCAAAATCCACAAACTTATCATTCTTGAACCCCGCCAAAAGAATAAAATGGTCTTAAATAATTATAAAATGAAAATTCAAATTCACAAATAATAAGTTTGTGAAATTTATGACATTTTATTTGTGACTTTAGCATTTTTGGTTTACAATACGCACATGTTTTTGGGACATACCAGAAAAACATGCTAGTAAGTATTTTGTTGTGTTTTGCTTCTATTGATGTTTGAGAGTCGTGTGAAAGAATTTGTGCTAGTGATCCTTGTGCATTGTTTGGGGCAATTTTTGTCAACTTTTAACTCCATACTTCAAACTCCAAACTTTAGTTAAAATTAATATAGTATCCGGTTTCTAAATCAAACTCAAGTCTCCATATCTAGTTAGATTTAAGATGAAAAGAACACCCCCTTAATAAAGTTGCAGTTGTGACTGTTTGGAATGGTATTGCAGGTTGGCCATCTTGGAGAAGCTTATGAGGAGTGGGTTCATAAGCCTATTGCTAGCAGAGAAGGCCCTCGTTTCTTTGAAAGTGACTTTTGGGAGGTATTACATTTCTGTCCTAACTACTCAAGCATATACTATTAGATTTGTTTGAGGTCTGCCATGACTGTATTTGTTCAAGGTCAGTCACAGAGTGGCTATTAATGTTTATATGCCTGTCTTTTGTCTACTTTTACGTGTTCATTATACTGAATGCAAAATTTGTCATAGTGTCATAAATCATAATAAGTGTAATAATAATAAGGCTATTATATTTGGAACAGTTTCTCACCCGCACTGTGTGGTGGGTAATTCCTGTCGTATGGCTACCTGTTGTATGCTGGTTCGTTTCAATGTCTCTTCGGATGGGTCACAGTGTTCCTCATGTGGCACAAATGGTAGCATTGGGTATTTTCATTTGGACACTGATAGAATACATTCTTCACCGTTTCCTTTTCCATATTAAGACAAAGAGCTATTGGTAACTTCGTGTCTCTCTGGAAATCTCTTGCTAAATTCTCTTTGTTTCTGTCTCTTGCCTATTAATTTTGGGTTTATATATTGTCACTTTTCACAGGGCAAATACCTTCCATTATCTTATTCATGGTTGTCATCACAAGCACCCCATGGATGGGCTGCGCCTTGTTTTCCCTCCTGCTGCTGCAGCTGTTCTCTGTGTTCCCGTATGTGTTCACAAACTAATAAAATATTTATACTCAGAAAACATTCAATCCAAATGCACATGCAGTTTTTTTACATAAAATGATGAAATCAAAGCCAGCCCTACACGTCATACTTCTACATGTGAATTGATCTCAAATATTTGCAACGGTGTGCAATGCTAGTTTCGGAAAATGCACCCGGATATAAGATTTACACAAATACTATATCAGGTGAACTTTATAAATTTGACATTAAATGATGCCTTACAACACAATGTATATAGACTGTTTTGCTAAGCTTTTTTTTTTGAACATTGGAATGTTAAAGCCATCCTTGCCAGCTTTCCATTTTAAAAATTTGTGCTTTTATGCTATATACCATATTTCAGATGTTTGTATGTTCATATATCTTTAGACTTGGCTGCACAGTGCTTCAATATTAGATCTAAGTAGTTCATTATCAAGTATAGTTGAGTCTGAAGTGGGCAAGACGCAAGAGTCACATGTGTTCACTTAGGTGCACTGTATCCTTGAAAACTTTATGACAATGGGATTTGAATAATCATTTGATAGCTAAGTACCTACTATATGGGCTACAACCATTGTTTCTTAAAATATAACATTATTGGATGGTTTCATTGTGATTTATTTTTTCATGGCAAATGCATCATGCTATTGAATCCATGATGTGAAGTTCAAACAATACACTCAGTATGGTGAGCGTATTGTTGTAGGCTTAGGTTGAGAAGAACATGTTTAATTAGCCTTTTTGATACATTTATAATGATGCAGAGTCACTTTGAAAATGTTAAAGCTAAAAGTTACCATTGGATAATATTTGCAAAATGTTGAAGCTAATGCCAAATAGAGCCTTAGCATGTAGATTTTCCCCATCTTTATAGTCTAATGTGCTGTCTGCTTTATTACAGTTCTGGAACATGGTGAAGTTCTTTTCTACACCCTCTACTACTCCAGCTTTGTTCGGAGGAGGATTATTGGGTTACGTCATGTATGATGTGACACATTACTACTTGCACCATGGACAGCCAATAAGTAATTTGCCACGAAGTCTGAAGGCAAGTGAACACGATTTTACTGAACTTGCACTTGATATTCTGTTTCTATATAAGTCTTCATGTTTCTTGCAAGACTGTTTACTATTTAGATGCATCTTTTTATGTTTTAAAATCAACTTTCTAGGTCTGTCGGCATTTGTAACCGCTTACCCTTTAAAGATCCACATTGATCAAAATTTGGTCTTTCTTTTGTTGTGTTATATCCATATGCTTTAGTTAGTGTTGCTCTAACTCGTGCCATCAAATTAAGTGCTATTTCACCATTTTGGTGGGATGTGAACAGTATGCCTCCAAGTTTTCTGAAATATACAAGGACCTGTTTGGTTAGTGTATGCTCTAGGAGACATGGGTTCTGTTATCTCACGATATCAGCACCCTTTTATGAGTATGAGGGTTTGGTGAAGTCTAAACAAGTTCGGATTTGATATCTCCCAATATCACAACCCTTTCAAATGGGGTCTTTTGATATCTCTCGAATATAGAAGATATCAATCCAGGGTTTTTTTATATCTCCATCAACGGATGGTGTCGGTCTCCTGCTGCAGATGGACACACGCTGTTTCCTGCCACCCCTCTTGTGTACTAACAACCTTCATTTCAGGTTTCTGCAAACACTTCCATTTCAGATTTTAGAACTCATATAGTCATATAACCCATATCACATGAACCCTACAAAACTCAACTAACGAGCCCTTAGTGAATTCTTTTTTTTTTTTGAAATATCTAAATATGAGTGATCTTTCTACCCATTGATATGGATCAACTGGTAATGTGATGCGTTCTTCAATTATGCAGAAATACCACTTGAATCACCATTTTCGTATCCAGGACAAAGGTTTCGGCATCACCTCGTCATTATGGGACAGAGTGTTCGGAACATTACCTCCATCAAAATCAGATGTGAAGAGTAGATGATTGGATTAAGAAAACATTTGTCCAATGAGTGGTCATTATTAGACAGGCTGTTGTAAGCCTTAGAAATTCTTTTCACCGCGTGCATTCTTTCCCTTCATCAACCTTGGCAGTGTTAGTGTATGAAAATGCTTTGGATACTACTGTATATGCATCATTCTCATCTTTGTTTATCATTGTTTTGAAATGATCATATCATTATTATGTTCATGTTATAAATTTTTGGCCAATTGTTCATTTTGAAATGATAGAAGCAGCTTAGGAGCTATGACTTCAGGGGCTTTTTTGTCTTTCAGGAGAATGATAGAAGACATATTGGGGCAGTTTTGATAGGTTATGGCTTCATTGATGGGTTTTTTTACTCTGGTTTATTTGGGGTTTATGCAGATTGCAGGCTGATTGGGGCTTAGGTTTGCGTGTTTATCGGCAACCGTGTGCCGAGTCTACGATTTATACTTGGCATTGCTACCTTAAAAAGTTAAAAGCAGGAAATGGGTCCGGTTCGAGTCATATTTTACCAGACTTGAATCCGATCACACTTAATATTCGGTTATAATTTTTTACCCGAATCCAACTTACGACCCGCATTCCGACCTAAGTAGTAACACGGAGCATGCTGTCTATAACTCTTAACTTTACCACTCCCTTGTCTAAAAGAATATTACTCCCTCCGTCCCTAAATAGATTACAATCTTTTTTTCTCTCTCCTCTCGATAACTTTTGTTTGTTTACGCGATTTCACTAAGTATTTGATAAAATAAAATATTCTTGTCACCTCTTGTTTTGTAAAACTTTTGACGTAGTTTTTTAATATGTAATTTTTATATCTTATTGATATACCAATTTGTAAATAAAATGATTTCAAAAAGTAAGAAATTTTACTCCGTAACCCGCAATTTGTAATCAAATTGGGGACGGAGGGAGTATGTTTTTCTTATTTGAATGTTCCAAAATAAATGTCTCAAATCTCAATCTATTTTAGGAATAAAATGGATGGTTCATATTATTCATCTTTACTCTGAATAAATTTTTGTTAGAGTAAATTCTATAATTAGCCCTTTATAACATGGAGATTGTCCTATTTAGTCTTTTATTATCAAATATTACTCTTGTTGCCCTTCTTTTATGGGTATCTTTCCACATCTAGTTCTTTGTTTATCTTCTATTATGTTGGTGTGAATTTGAGGGCTAAAAGTATAATTTCACACCGATAATATATCTTTCTTGTCAAGCATAATTCCAAAGGCCGCTCTTGATGTGTCATTTGTGAATTATAGTTGCTTTCTACTACAACTATAGTTTACATATGTGGTATTTTGTCGGAATTCTAGCTCATAACCATAGTTCTTATTTGTGTGTTATTCGTCTAATCAATATTAGAATACGTCACTGGACATAAGATTGGTGTTAAATTATACTTTTAGCTTTTAAATTAACACCAACATGATAGAAAATTATAAAAAGCGATTTTTGGAAAGACACTCATAAAAGAAGGGTTATTGGAGTAATATTTGATAATAGAGGACTAAATATGGAAACTCTCTCTTATAAAAGATCAATTATGAAATTTTATTCTTTTTATTATATAATTTTATTTTTTTAAATTTTGTGAAATTTTAATTAGGACATTTGTCTTAGGGACAGAGGGAGAATATGTTGGGTGTATGTAGCCCTTAGGCCTTACCTCTAGTTGAAAGTAGAGAAGATGCTTTAGGAGACTTTTAGCTTGAGTACTATTTTCAAGAGGCTTTTAGCTTGAGCACAATCTGCATAGTTTAGCATTGAGGACACAAAGGAAGAACAAAGAAATAACATAGAGCAAAGGGTGCAGAATGCAAATAGACAAAAAGTACACAAATTGTTGCTAGCAACTAGATTTGAAGCATAGAAAGCATACAAAGGAATAAAAAGTACTACAAGGCCCAAGAGACTATTCAATTACTTCGGTCTTAGATCACGCTCATACTTAAGTTCATAGAGCTTGAAGTTTTAGCTTTTGCTTAATCATCTTTAACTCTTCTTAATCTACCTCTTCCCCTTCCTTGTTCATGATCGTAATTCTCTCCGCACTAAGACCTCTACACAACTACACTCCATGGTTTATGGAATAAATTTAAAAAATTGACCTAAAGATTATTTACGAAATAAATTAGAAAGATTGAAGACTATTTATATAATATCTTAGGTTTATGAACTAAACATGAAAAATCACATATAATTAGAGATCACTTATAAGTAGAATTTACTCAATGAAAAAAAATAGAAAAAACTATTTTTAGAGGTGAAGCAAAAATTCGAAGGCATCTACTGATACGAACATCGTATCAGACATGGAAGAACATCGAGTCTTTTCAAGCTTCAAGAAGAAGATAGAAGAGAAAGATGGAAAATTTCGAGCATTTCCGAGTTCTTAAGGAAAGAGGAAGAAGATTGATAACAATTCTTGTTTTAATGATTGAATAATAAGAATGAAAGGTATCAATATACATAGACGAGACGTCATAACTAACTGACCTAATGGGCTCGGGGTCACACTAACTATAAATTATAGAATGTTACTCCCTCCGTCCCAAGTTATAATGTATGTTTACTATTCAGATGGTCAAACTTCATTCACTTTCTTTCTCTATTTTCGTTAGCAATTTGATAAAATAAAGTACTATTGTCACTACTAGTTTTGTAGATCTTTTGATGTAGTATTTTAATATGTAATTTTTATTTTTTAACATTGTAAATCAAAACAGGCGTTATAAAATGGAACTGATGGAGTAATAAATTCGGAGTAACTACTAATCTAATTCTTCTTAGGTACCGTCCACTCACCAGGATTTGGCAACACACTCTTGTGTTTAGAGACTTAATACTCGTTAAGATCATTCTTTACAATTAAACTTTATTATTTTAAAGGCGTTTATTATAAAATTTATGTTTATTAATGATCATACACCTCGCTTTACAATTAGATATGTAGAATTTATGTTATACTCTGGGTAGTTTATTATTTAGGATTATGTTGAATAAAAAATTAATTAGAGTGTGAGTGTCAGGAATTGTCTACCCTTACCTTCATCATTTATTTTTTTTCCGACTAGGACATTTGTTGGTAAAGAATCTGACTTGTGTGCCACTAATTAATTTGATTTTAGCACTAATAATTCTACTATAATTATACTACTTCGTATTAATTTACACATACTTTCTCGACCCATTGAAGCATTGAAAAATACACCGGCATTTTAACAGTTCACATGAGCAAACAATGTTAGTTCAAATAAAAAAAAAAGTGCACTGACATTTTTTGGCAATATAAATAATCACCCTAACATCACATCAGCACAAGTCAGCGCATGCTGCAAATCATACTATACAATCGGATGTACCCAAAATTGGGTACAGCCGATAAATCAAAGAAGAAAAGGCGTCGACTGGAAGAGAAACGAGGTGCTCCTAGTCAGGTCGGGTCGGAGGAAGGAAGCTGCGTCGAATGAGAGCTGCGTCGGATCGGGAGGAAGAAAGCTGGAAGGGAGATGTGAACGGTCGATCGAGGAAGGTGTTGACAGGTCAGAAAAGAGATGCTCCATCAAATACCTAGTGGAGGAGTCGATCGATGGGAGGAGAGGGTAGCAGGTCGGGTGGGAGAAAAAGAAAATTATTTATAGTATGGATTTTATTTATTTGAGAATGAACATTAATTTATTTGAGAATGAACAGTATTTTACTTCAGAATGTACACTATCTTATTTGTAGATAAATTTTATATTTGTATTGAATAGTTTTGTGAAAATGAACACTACATTATTTTAGAATGAGTACTACATGTTTTAGAATGAATACCACGCTATAATTATGTTTGTGCGAAAATGATTATTATTCTACTTCAGAATGAATAATACTCCGTACCCCGTGTGTGCTATCTTTAGGTACATCCAGTTGTATGAAAATGTATCATATTTCGTATGAAAATGAGATACAAACTTTGGTTTACAAATAGCTTAATCCAAAAAAAATTCACCCAACTCCATTCCTCATCAATCCATCTATCATCTTCCTGATCTTCTTCTTCAGATGATTCGGTTATTGGGTACTCCCCTACATAGACATTAGAGGAAGAATTTACCCCATACATTTTCAATGCGAACAGAATAAACAGGAAGATTTTACTCCATAGATTTTCTTTTTCATTGTTTATCCCGTTGATATGGAGTCCGAAAAGGGTTAGGGTTTAGGGCTTTAGGCGCCTTCTCTTTCTCTGTCTCTCTCGTCGTGGTTTGAAGCGGATATGGCGGAGGATGCCACTGCTAAACTGGAGCTTTCCAACTCCTGCTGCGTTGCCGTAAGTTTATGTGTTGTTTTTTCATTTTAAAATATGATTATTTTTCTTCCGAAATTTTATATAAAAGGTTGTGGATTTGTCCAATTGGGCATTTGCAGTGGAAGGAAAGGTACGCCAAGTTGAAGGAGAAGTATTCAAAGCTCGAAGAAGGGCGCAATGCCCTTCGCAAGGGACTGTCAATCTATGAGCAACAAATTTCAAAGATTCAATCTGAGAATCTCACGTTGAAGAAGGGTACATTCCCCCAATTTTTTCCCCAATTTCTTAGTTGATGTGCTTAGGTCTGAATGAATCTGTCTTGTTGTTACTTGTTATTTCTTGTCGAAAACTTGGAGAGATTTGATGCTTCCGTAATTTCGTTTAAGCTTCTTTATTGGAATTTTTAAAAAAGCATTTTGTTTATTTCAGCTTATGAGGGCGAGAAAGTTCGGGCAGACAATGAGAGCCATGAAAAAGCAAAAGAATCTGCTCTGCGGGCTTCCTTGGAGAGTGAAGTTTCTGGTCTCAAGTCCAATATTCTTTTGATGCAGCGCAATCCAAGTCCTGCCAGTGAGGATTTGGTAAGGGAAAATGCACAACTTCAGAGATTTCTTTCGGAAAAAGTTACCGAGGTTAGCAGGCTTAAGGAGCTTCTTGAGAATGAGAGATCTAGAGCAGAGAAAAAGAAAGCTGAGACTGAGAGGAAAAAAGCGGACGAACTAAGAAAAAAACTAAAAACTGAGAAAAATAAGGCAGATGAAGAGAGGAGGTTAGTTGAAAGTGAAAGAAAAGAGGCTTCGGAAAATAGGCCCAAGTTGGAGGCAGCGATGAAGGATGCTGACGAAGTAAAAATGAAGTTGCCATTGGAGCATAATCCAAGTCCTGCCAGTGAAGATTTTGAAAGAGTAAAGGCACAACTTCAGGGAGTTCTTTTGGAAAAGGATACAGAGGTTAGCCGGCTTAAGGAGCTTCTTGAAAGTGAGAGATTTAGAGCAGATTCCGAGAAACAGAAAGCCGAGGCTGAGAGGAAAAATGCTGACGAGTTAAGAAAAAAACTCAAGACTGAGAAAAATAAGGCAGATGAAGAAAGGAGGCTAATTGAAAGTGAAAGAAAAGAGGCTGCAGAGAATAGGCTCAAGTTGGAGGCTGTGATGAAGGAGGCTGATGAAGTTAAAATGAAGTTGAGTTCAAGTCTTGCCAGTGAAAATCTGGAAAGAGAGAAGGCTCAACTTCAGGGAGTTCTTTTTGAAAAGGATACAGAGGTTTTCCAGCTTAAGGAGCTTCTTGAGAATGAGAGATCTAGAGCAGATTCTGAGAAAAAGAAAGCTGAGTCCGAAAGGAAAAAAACTGATGAGTTAAGAAAAAAACTGAAAACTGTGAAAATTAAGGCAGATGAAGAAAGGAAGGTTGTGGAAAGTGAAAGAAAGGAAGCTGCAGAAAATAGGCTCAAGTTGGAGGCTGCAATGAAGGACATTAATGAAGTTAAAATGAAGCTGGCTTTGGAGACATCAAAGGTAGCAGAGATAAAAAAGACGTTGGACACAGAAATACAAAACAGAATAATAGATAGAAAACAGGCAGAGTCATATATCTTAAAAGCAGCAGAGCAGTCAAAGCTTGCTGATACAAATATGAAGATTGCCATGGATGAAAAACGTCGTGCTGATGGTTTATCAAAGCAGCTGGACCAGTATAACAAAAGAATTGAGAATCTAAAGAAGGAGATAGCTGAACTTAAGTCTTCTAGGAAGTCAGTTGATAGCCTATCTGATAAGAAGAGAGAAGCTGAAGAAAAGCTTGCTCATTTAAAGATCATAGAGCAGCTAGAAGATCAAATAAATGTTTTAGAGGCATACAAGAAAAAGGCCGCGGAAGAAAAGCACCGTGCAGATCAGTTATCATGTGAGCTGAAGGATAACAAACAAAGGTTAGGTAAGCTACAAAAGGAAATTCATGCCCTTATTTCTTCCAAATCAAATGCCGAATCTGCTCTTCATTCACACGATAGGAGTTTGAAATGCCAAGCAGCTAAAATCAGTATCTTAGAGAAGCAATTGAAGTTGGAAAAGATGTTGGTAACACACTCTGAAGGAGTCACAGAGCTTGAAAAAGCTCGTAATGGTATACTACAAGAAGAATTATTGCAGTTAAAACAAGATTTTTCTCTTTTTTCTAAACGCTTGAATTTATTGGATGATTATTTCATTGGCTCTGGTGAAGGCAGTCACGATATGGAAAAGGTTGGTTTTTCTTATACATGCTTTTATAGAAAAGATTGAGATAAGTATTTTGATCATTTTGTTGGGTGGTAATGTTTTAAAAGTGTACACCGAACTAAAATATCCACTGATCACTGATGGCTGTTTGAATTGGTAAATAATAAGACTAGTATTCTGCTTCCGAGAAAAGATTGTAGTCTGTAAAATGTTGGAGGTACCATCTTAGTGTGTCCTTTTTCTTGCGTTGAACAGAAATTGCTATCCTATTCTTATAATCTAATGGCCTTCTTTGATGATTCTCTACTTTGCAGTTAGAATTGAAAAGCAAACAATTTGATGTCAATCCATATAATATGCCCTCTCATCTCAAAGATGGGCTTGCGCTATTGGCTGATAATGATGAAACTGATTCATTCAGGGAAAGAATAGAAGGCAGTGCACCTTTGCTCGATATATCTGGAGGAAACGACACTAGAAGTGTTTCAGGTATAAATTCTGAATTGGAGCCTTTGCTCAAAGGTTTGAACAAAAAAGTGTTACAGAGTTCTGCCATAAATTCGAGTTCGACATCTTTTTCTGATAGACCATTGGTGGGCTCACAGGAAAGACATTCTTCTAGTGCTACATCAGATAAATTTTCTGAAGAAAAATCCAACATTGAAGGAACAATTTCAAGGTTACCATGTTATAAAGAAGAAAAGTGCAATGAGGGTCCTGCAGCATTAGTGGATAAAAGTGTTGAATGTCCTGTTAGTGATACACCTACCAAAAGGAGAGGTTGGCATCAAAGGAAAAGGAAGATGTCTATTGATGCTATTGAACCTATTTACAGTTCACATTCTGAGAATAAGATGCTGCAGCAACAGGTACCTTCCCTGTATCCTGTGTTAGAAAATCAAATTGGTAAATCTGCAAGAGTTGAAACATGCTTACTTCCTGATGCGCAAGGCAACATTTGCAGTTCTCATGCTAGATCTTACAAGAAGAGAAAGGTTTCTTCTGAAGAACTTTTGGGGTGTCATGGGAATTATGCCAATCAGCAAAAGGCAAACCTCAAAGGGTTGAGTATGAAAGAGTCTGATATAAATGCAAAATCAAACCCGGCACTCCATCTTAGTAAAAGTGCTCATAATTGGAAGGATAGGAGTGATACTCTCAGAGATTTCGAGTTACTGGTTGGAGATGACTACTTGAAACTGCTGAATTTGGATAATGATTTAGATGAAGAATCTTATCATCTAGCCGTCAGAATGCCTTTGTCTCCTAATCTTCTAGAGATAAAGTGTCAAAGCATTGATGACCATGTATTACGTTATTCTTATGATAATGATGTTCTCGGGGAACTTTCACATATGAAGGAGAACCTTGCTCCACCACAGCATTTTGATGTCATTGATATGGAAATATACTCAAATAAGGCAAATCTTGGAACCTTGGGGACTGCACAGAATTCATTGTTGGAAGAAAATAATGGTCATGATGATATATCTAGCTGCTTAAATGGTAATGGAATTGATCACTCTAAAATTTCACATGATGGTATATCTAATGCTTTTGGTAAAACATCATGTACGCTTGATGCTTTAGCTTGTGAAAATGAGAGATCAAAGATTTCAGGTGGAACCAGGCACCCACCTTTTTGTTCCAGTATACCAAAGTGTTGTGTTGTGTTTTCGGATAATGACAAAGTAGAAAGCATTTCCAGGGTATACTCTGCAACCAACGACTTCATGGTTAAGTGTTCAACAGTTTCATCATCAAACTTGTTTCTGAAGAATATTGTTGTCTTCATTTCAGGTGCTCAAGATCTTTCAGCAAAGTAAGCCATTAAAACTTTGTTTCTTTATATCATGCATCCGCTATCCTTTTGAAATTAATTTTATCGTCCTTTCATAGTCTAAGGCTCTTTTCATGATATGTCTGGGACTCTAGGTTATGGTTAATCTAGGAATTTCAACTTCTTTAAAGTTTATGGTACAATCCATTCTCAATAGGTTTATTTCAGTATATTCCACGAGAAATGTAGGGTTTGTTTAGAAATGGGTGTGGCTTGCAAATGAGTTGCCTTTGATTTAGTGTCTTCAAAACACAATAGTCCCTTCGTGAGTTTATGGCATGATTTCACATAGCTTAAGAAAAATGCTGTAAATTATAAGGTGTCGTTAAACTTTGGCTAGAAGAGAGAGAAATGTTGAGAGCCACATATTCCCTTTCTTGATAGGAATATAAGGAAGTGTACGCTTTATTTCAAGACATCCAAAAAAGAGAGTAAATTTTATTTAGGGATGGAGGGAGTAGTTGCTAGGCAAATTAATATCATGGATACATTAATATTTTTTTCCATAATGGTCAAAGGTGCATATGTACAACTACTATAGATCATGCCGGGGCCAACAACAACAACCTAGTAGAATCCCACAAAAGCAGGGTGGTCTAGGGAGGGTGTGTGTACGCAAAACTTACTTCTACTAAAAGTAGAGAGGCTGTTTCCAAGAGACCCCCGGCTCAAGCAACACAAAGAGCATATAGCACGACACAAAGTCAAAGGGCAAATTGAGGGTAAAAAGCGCAACAAGACAAAAGGCACACAAACATAACAATAAGGACAAAAACTACCACCACAGTTCAAACGACTATCCAACTACCCTAATCCTAGATCTTCAGACGTTTCTATCTATCTATCGATCTAAGGTCATATCCTCGCTAAGAGCTAGAAGTCCTAAGTCCTGTCTATTACTTCCTTTCAATACTTCCCTAAGTCCACTCCTTCCCTCAAACCCACCTACTCTCGTAAGCCTCTCGCGCCTCTGCACTGAGAGTCGTCTGGGACCTCAGTTGCTCACCGCTTTACATTCCCAAACCATCTCAATGTAACCTCTCACAGCTTATCCTCCACAGGTGCCGCTCCCGCACGTATCTGAATAACCTCATTTCAGATCCTATCCAACCTCATGTTGGGGCTGGAGTCCTTAAAAAATTATGGTGGTAATATTGTTGTACTCGAACACAACCAATACTAGTCATGTTTCGTTATTGGAGGTTGATTTACATTAATCTTGTAATTGAATATGACAATAACAGGTTTATCATTTTATTGCTGATTTGACAATAACCTATGATGATGCATGCCAGTTTTAGAATTTTATCTCATCATTCAATCTTATGAAGGTTGACAGACGTAAAAAGTTGCTTCTATGTTTTTTTGCCTATACGGTCAATTATCTTTAAGCAATTAATTGGCACTTTGTATGTAAATAATGTAATGCCACCACTCCAAGTAGTTTGGAGTTGGGATTTAGGTACATATAACGATGATGATGTTGAAAATAGTACTCCCTTTCTATCAAAATCATCTTCCCACTTGCCGCGTCAGGATATCCCAAAATCATCTTCTCATTTCCTCTTTGGCACACAATTTTTACCTTTTGTTTATAAGAAATATACATATTTATTCTCAACTTACATATATACTACATCTTACACCACTTTTACTAAACCTAAAAAAGTAGGTAGGGCACTTAATGATTTTCCTTTCACTCTTAATCTTCATGTCATTTTCACATGGGAAGATGATTTTAGGAGGGTTTAAAATTAAAAATTCAAGTATGTCAAATATGTTGAACACATAGTTGTGAATGCGCTCGCCATTAACGCTTATGGCGCCAAAGGCGCTATGGCGAGGTGTTTCTGCCTCTGTTGACTATGGCGTGGCGAATTACGCGAGGTGTGCCATAGGCGGTCGCCATGGACGCCAGGATTTATGGCGATTGGCGTGCGCCAGTTACGCTTTGCGTCCGGTCAATTTTTTTAAAAAAAATTAAACTGACCTTGACCTATTTAATCACGTTTCTTCTTGCGTGTCGCTTCGATACTTACCATCGAACTCGTGCAAGTCTCGACAACTGCTCCAGAGTCTCTTTAGCATAGTAGATTCGTCTCCCAGACTCCATTGCCAACAAAAAATTTGTTATCTCATGCGCAATCGCAGCACAAGTCGCATGGAAGCCCAGGCCACAACTGTCCTTGTCCTTATTGCTTCAGAGTCCTCCTTAGGTTATTCTTACTTTTTTTAATTGATTTATTTTTATAATGTTTTTAACTCTTATAATGTATAATGATAATGTTTATTATAATTATTATATGATTTTGTTTAACCTCTTGTTTGCTTGACTAGTTCATTGACACAATTGCAATTCACATGTCACTTATTATTTTTGTTTTTTGTTGTTTTTTATTGTCTTATTAAATTCACACGTCACTATGTGTATTATTAAATTCTTATAGATATTTGTTTTACATTCTTAAAGTCTTATATATAGACATTCACTATGTTTAAGACTAAAAGATAAATAGATATATACATATATACATGCATACATACACACACACACACAGATATATATATATATATATATATGTATGTATGTATGTTCGCCATTTAACCGCCCGCCACTCGCCACGCCTCTCGCCATAAGAAAGGACCTCTCGCCCGCCACTCGCCATTCACAACTATGGCTGGAACATTAAATGCATTAAAGAATTTGTTTCTATTTCTAATATTCCTAATCAATGAACCATTTTATCTTTTTTCATTTGCAACTTTTTAGAAACATAAGTTTTTATTAAGAGCTAAAAGAGTCATTTTTGACCTAAATCAAAATGACACATTAAATTCTCTTTCTCCTTACTTCCTAAAAAGGTTTGGGCAGTAAATGCATCAACGCATTAAGAGTTAACGAATATCCCTCCCTGTGTTCCCATCATTGTTGTCAAGTCGTCGCATAGTTGACGTCTAGTCGCCATAGTTTGTAAGGCGGCAAGGTGAGGCGAGGAGCCAATGTACCTTCATATCGCCTAGGCGACTAGGCGCGCGACATACATACCTACATATATATATATAGACACACACACACACATATACATGTACATATGAGCGCCTGGTCGCCTTAAGGTTTTCTAGGCGAGGCGAGTGACAGCGCCTTATCGCCTAGGCGACGCCTTACAAACTATGCTAGTTGCCGACTAGTCGTCCAGGCGTTTTTTGTATGGCGACTTGCACGCTGACTAGGAACTAGGGTCGACTGGGCAACTGGGCGAGTTAAGGGACGCCTAGGCACGAGTAGGCGACGAATAGTGTGTGAAGAAAACCTGCCCAATTTGACACAACCAAATTTGACCCAACCCGACCCAAATTTTATTAAATTTTAAAAATTACTCAATAGAACATAGCCTCCCCCGATCCGTTCAATCAGCACAATGAATCGACATTTAACCCTTCCCAAATTGCGACATCTCCTTCATCGACTTCTTTCAGAGTTCCAGGATCAATTTTTTGGAATTGATTCGTCTTCATCTTCCAAGATTCACAAGCTCTCTATCCATGGATAAGATATCTCTATCTTTAGTTATTTATCACTAAAGTATACTCTTAATTTGGTTTAGTTTTCTTTAATATGGTTCATTAAACTATTAAAGTATATTATACTCTTAATTTTTAAGTTTTATTAATTTTTCAGTGACTTTATGTGACTTTATGTGCTACCTTCAAACATAATTTGTTTTGGCAGTGATATTTTGGCATATAAATATATATATAGTTATCTTGGGTGAATAAAGATGCATAAAATGTTAAAGATTTTAATACTAGTTGTGAATTGTGATTTGTCGACTAGTCTACGACTAGTAGGCTGACTAGTCGACTAGTCCACTAGTCTCCCTTTCACCGACTTAACAACCATGTTTCCCACTTGTCTTTTCCAATTCAATTGCCTAAGTGAGCAATTAGTTTCTAGTAAAATAAATAGTGTTCCCATTGTTGTTCTCCCATGCCCCAAATCGGTCACACATTCTTGGATATGTCTTTTGTTTTGATATATTGACACAAAAACAGTGTTTCTTCATGCATCTGGGGTCTTCTTACTAAAAAATACAATGAAGAATTGAAAAGTCTTGTTAATCACATTATATCCTCAATGTCATGCACCTCTTTAGCCTCTATCGTATGAATGGCTATTCATGTGAGTAATTTTCTCTCCCTGTTTGCAAGAACCTGCTTGAATTGAGTCTACCTTGGACACCATTTTTAATTAGTTACAACTGTCATTGCCTTCATTAGTGCAGTAGATGAATTTTCATTCAATGCTGATGTTTCTCTTTGTATTAAGTATATGGTGCTGCTTGCAGAACTGCCTTAATGCTTGAATCAAGTTATACTATTGGAAAATAAGAGTTATAGTATGTCTCTTTGTCCTCACAGATTTTTCATTTTAGCACGAGTATCATTGTATATTTGTCCTATCAGAGAGAGTTCTTTCCATATCATCATTTGTCTTTTGCAATTGAGTACTGGGTTCTTTTGATACAATGATCTTAAATATAGATATGGAGAAACAAATTACTAACATATCCTTTACTGTTTTGCCAGGGAAAAGGCATCTGTGTTTTTGTCAGGCCTTCTGCACTACATTTCAGAAACCGCAAAAATTGGTTTTTGCAATGATTGGGATAGAGACTCTGTCCTGCTTATTGCATCGTTTGCTCATCATATATGCACAGGTGCTAGTCAAATTCATCAATCATGTTATACTTCATTGTTCGTTATCATAATATTTTCCATTTTCATACCAATCAGCTTGTTATATCTTCTTTATATATGCAGAGCCCTCTGATGAGAACACTGGAGTGGTTTTAGTTGAATCATTCAATTTGCGCGAGCTGCTTGCACTTTTGGAGGACTTCATCTTGCATAGAGAAGTTTTGATGTTTAGTGATGTATGCTCTGGTTCAGAACCCTTAAAGAAATCAATCTTCAACTTTTCTGTGAATGGTAATGGTGTTCACCTGTTTAGTCAAGAAGCTTCCATAAACTTGTTAGTGGCTGGGGGCATTTTGTTAGCATCATTCTGTGCTGAAGTTGACTACATCGGTTTCATTTGTGAGGCATCATGCAATATTCTAAGGATGTTAAGATCTGACACTTCATTTGTGTTAACAATTCTTCATATCTTTGCCTTTGTATGTGGGTCGAAGTATTTTAGCATCAAGCAGTATTGCTTTGTAATGGCTGTAGTAAGATCTTTGGTTGTGTTTCTTGAGAAGCTTAATCCTCCTGACTGTGGTTCCTGCTTAACATCTTTGGCTGCGGGGCTGTCTAATATATGGTCAGGCAGCAATTGCCCATTTTTGGAAGGCACATCTTCTATGGATGGCGTTGCATCAATGCTCCTAGATAATCTTGATAGCTGTGTCCGGTCCAATGCAAGGCATAAAGATTTGATTGAGGCAATCCATCCATCAATAGACGAAGTGTGTACAGAGAGTATTAACTGCTGTGCTGCTCTTAGAGAGGTGGCCATGTCGAGCTCTATTACGGATGACAATGCATGCTTCTTTGTTGATATCCTTGCACTAGTTGAGCTTGTAGCTTTTTACATGGTATGCCTTTTAAACTCATCACTTTTACTGTTTTCACTTCTGTTGCAATATGAATCTTTTAACTTTCCAATATAGTGTTGTCTTTTGGGTGGACAATACTAGTATGTGATAGAGTTCTTCATTTTTCCAGATGTATGTATGTGTATATGTGTGTGTGTGTGTGTGTGTGTGTCTATATATGTTCGTATTTGGCATATTGTTTGTCAATGTGACTTCACCTCAATTTGTAATTTCTACGGAGTTAATATCAACAGTTTACCTTTATTTCTTCTCTCTTATGGAACTACTGCCACATTTCTTGCAGAGCTGGGATTGGACTGCTGAAAACATTGTTTGTCCTCTGATCAAAATGGTGGAATCATGCTCTGTGGAACATGTCCCTGCTGCTATTCTTGTTCTACTTGCGCAGCTTGGAAGGTATATTTCAGAGAATTTGAAGACATTTCAATTTGACGCGCGCGCACACACACACAACAACAACAACAACAACAACAACAACAACAATAATAATAAGGAAAAATTATCTTAAATAATCCCACCTTTTTCTGTTTTTTCAAAAATAATCCCAATTTTCACTATCGCCGGAAATAATCCCACCTTTCCGCATGTGTGCGAGTTTTGGGTCGTCGATAAAAAACTAACGGCCACTTAACAAAATTTTTGGAAAATGCCTGTTTTCTGCAAATAAATGAAAGGTGTGATTATTTTAGGCAAATTTATTTTTTTTTTCTTTTTTTAATTATAAATTTAAAATGAATATTTTTAAAAATATAACAGTACACTTTTGTTAGAGATTTGTCTAATGATTTACAAATTTTTTATTCTGTCCTGTGAAAATATAATATTGAATTATAAAAAATAATTTAGAGTATCGATCGAGAGATAAATTAAAATACAAAAAAGAGTTGTAGTGAGTTATAAAACTTATAAGTGTTGTTTCAGAGAAAAAAATATTGTGCCATTTTCACAAATTTTGAATTACTATTCTGGAGAAAAATTTGTACTTAATTATAAAAAAATCACAAGTTAGGTAGTTCCATTTTAGAAAAAAATAATATAGGTAATAGAAGACTATCAATAAATATTTCGGACTGTTGTTCATGAAAAAATTGCAAAACAAAAAATGTAGTGAGTTATAAAAATAATAGTTCCATTTCAGAGAAAAAATTATTGTGTTATTTTCACAACTATTGTAATGTTGTTTTGCAGAAAATATTTATATAGAATTATCAAAAAATATTCACAAGTTTTGTAGTGCCATTTTTTAAGAAATACTACGTAGTATCAAAAAACAATTTGAAGTGCTGTTCAAGAAAAATAATTGCAACTTACAAAAAATGTAGTGAGTTATGAAATAAATAAATTAGCTCTATTGTGTAGAATAATTTATTGTTTATTTTATTACCTTGAAAAAAAATATTTACTTTCACTCTAAAATAACACTTAAATTTTGTATTATTTATATAAAAAAATTTAAAAAATACTTTTAAATTTAAAGTTAGAAATTAAAAAACAAAAAAAGGGAATTTGCCTAAAATAATCCCACCTTTCATTTATTTGCGAAAAACAGACATTTTTCAAAAATTCTGTTAAGTGACCGTTAGTTTTTAACTGCGACCCAGAACTCGCACACATGCGGAAATGTGAGATTATTTCCAGTTACATTGAAAAGTGGGAATATTTTTGAAAGAGCGTGAAAAGGTGAGATTATTTGAGACAGTTTTTCCTAACAATAATAGTAACAATAATAACAACAACAATAATAATAACAATAGTATTTGGAGTGCTCATCAAGTTATTACTGTACACTCTACAGGTTTGGGGTTTCTGCTAAAGGATATGAAGATAACATAATCCAGAACTTGAGATCTCAGTTCTTAGCACTACTCTCCAAGTGTGATTCTAAAACAGTCAGTCTTGAGATTCAGTTTTCCATTGGAATTACTCTACTAGGCCTCGTGTCTCTCAACTTTGAGGAGGTTCTGGAAAGCCGTGCTGAAGTTCCTGGATTTGGAAGTCAATATCAAGCTACTGTATGCTTAAGGAAATGGTTTTCGGTGTTGAGCAATGAAAACCAGTTGTCTTTCAAGCATGTGGTTTCTTCAAGTAAAAGCCTCCAAAAAGGACACAACCCTCTTGTGAAATGAGAAATTGAAATATAGGAAGGGAGGATCCATTGGGCCATTGCTTATTTTTGTTTTATTTTTGTATGTGAGACGGAAGACAAGTTTCCAAGCACATGCTCTCAGTAGGAATTTTTCTTATCAACCTGCTTTGGTCAGTCCAGCCTGTGCTTTTCAGTCTTCAACCAAGACCAAATATTCAAAGGTACTTTGTGCCTGCATCTTATGTAAATAGACTAGATACTTTTTTTAAATCAAAGTAAAGCTGTTATGCACATACATTTGAAATTTTGAATGTGAATTTAGAATTGAGGGGATGCTTTGTTTATCTCTTGAACTTTTTTTTACACCTCAAATTACTGCCTTCTTTCTGTTGGTTGGTTGACTTGGTTCCCAGGTCAAGTTCCCTGTAACACATGCAGCCCTTGGAGGAGAAGTTACGTAAGGCCTTGTGTGCCTGTAGAGAGCATTTGGATCCGCAGCAGGGAATCTGCTCTTTCTGTCAAATTCCCAACTCATCTGGTATTGTAAATGTTGTATTTTTTTTTCCAGTGATGAAAATCTCTCCGAGTTGGGGAGGTATAGCTTGGAAAAAAGCAGTTCAAAATCTCCACCACCACCACTTTCTCCGCCTCTAAAGCCCCGTCAAGATCATATCCCATTGTCCAACCACAGCAAACCCAGTATATCCCAACTCTGTTAGTGTAGGGGAGAACATGGAGGCCAAAGTGTACGCGGTCTTTCCCTTTGAGGTTGTTTCAGTTAGACCCTTGATGTGCAAAAACCTGGCATCCCATCTACAAACTATTCTGTGCTGGAGAAAGTGTGTGTGTGTGTGGGGGGGGGGGGGGATGGAGGAATATTGAGACTAACAGGTGACTTTTTTCATGTTTACCTATTCATTGGCTGATGATCTTATTGTCACTCTCTTTCATCATCCAATAAATATAAGGAAGCCACATGTTAAAATCAAATATTCCATTGTTGTAAAGTCACACGCCCGGCGACTCTGCTCCAACTAGTGCTTTTTACCGCATTGCCTTCAAATCCAGGCTAGCGTGTTGAAGACTAACGTGACTTGGGATGTGATAGGGCGACCTTGATAGCCACACCCCCCTAGATTTTTAAGCGTTCCGTGTGACCCGTTACTTGTGTGACCCCGCTATTTGTAGGATTTTATTGGGTTTATTGTTGTCGTGTGATATGCTTTCTGGTGCAAAGAGTTTTGCACTTTGTCGGATCTCGGATTATACGAGCGCAAGGCTTGGGTGGTGCTATAGTGGATTGACCATCCTATCAGTGATTCATCAGTGTTTCTGTTGAAGCCACTGGCATGAATGAATGTGAAGAAGAGGATTTGCCAATGAGGGTTGTTCTTCCAGGGATGGTTCAAAATTTTTGCCCCAAAAAAAAAATTAGATTAAAGTCTCCTAACTAATACCCCATCTGTCCCAATTTATATTGCTTGTTTCGGTTTATGATGTTTGACTAAAATTATTATTAAATCATTTTAGATGACAAGTGGTGTAGAACCAAAAAAATAAAAAATTACATATTAAAATACCACAACAAAAGATCTACAAAATTTGTATTGATAAGACTATTTTATTTTATCAAATTGTTAACGAAAATAGAGTAAATAAAGTGAATGAAATTTGATCATGTGAGTAGTAAATACATAATTTAATTTGGGACAGAGAAAGTACAACCTACACTCCAAAAAAGAGAGTATCTTTACTATTCTAGAGTCAAACTAATACAACCTCCGTTCATTTTGTCTTATTAAAATTCATTAGAATACATTTAAATAAAGTAAATTCCATAAAAGGTCTCCTGTTATAGGTCGTTTTACATATTTAGTCCCTACATATCAAATATTACTAATTTAGTCCCCAATTATTATATCATTTTTCACGAGTGGTTCTTTGTTAATGTTTTTGTTAAGAACATGGATAAAATTGTATATTCATACTTCTCTTTTTCTTCAATTAAGCTTCCTCCCTCCTCTCGTATTCTTTCCCAAACTCGTTGCTGAGTTTGAAACTCTAAACCCAAAATTAAAAGAATCATTTCTCTCTCAATTATTAGTCTTTTTGGTGGAACTTAAAATCAAAACTAAAAAGCCTTATGGATTAGTTTTATTGGTTAATCTCAAGAAATTGCAAAGAAAATAAACATTAAAATTCATTCATGAAGGTTACTGGTTTCGAATTTGGGTTCCACCAGTTAGACAAACAATTGAGAGAAGAGTGATGATTTTGATTTTGGGTTCAAAGCTTCAAACTTAGCGACGGGTTTGGGAAATGTGTGTGACAAGAGAGAGGAAGCTTAAATGAGAAGAGAAATGAGTGTGAATTTACAATTTTATCCACGTTCTTAACGAAAATGCTAACAAAGGACAATTCGTAGAAATAGATATAATAATTGGGGACTAAATTATTTGATATGTAGGGAATATGTAAAACGATCTATAACTGGGGACCTTTTATAGAATTTATTCTTTTAATAATGAATAGCATTAAATTTGCATTGCATATTACTCCGTAGTACTTTTTCTTCACTATACGTGTAACGTGTCACTCTTGGTTCCCAATTGTCGCCACATATCCCTTCTCGGAACTGCCTTATATATGTTTTTTTTTTGAATTCTAAAAACAATGCAATCTATGGACATTGTTAATTGATGTAATGGGGACTTTGATGAATAAATCAGATGGACAATTAAAAGTGCAATAATATCTTGGTGATTGATATTAACGATTAACGAAGGCATTGTGGACATTAATAAAACAAAAGGCATTGTAGACATTAATAATGAGGCAGTTTCCATGATATTGTCCGGTAATGTCATAGATGACCCGATGACATTGTGGATATTGATAAATCAAAATTATATATTCTTAGGATGTGCTCCATACTTTTTTCCTTTGAAAAAGTTTTGTTGGACGAAGAGAGTACTCCCTCCGTCCCATTTTAAATTATCTGTTTGCCTTTTTTTTCCGTCCCAAAATAAGTTGCCTGTTAGTTGTCTTCGTAAACTTTTAAAAATAAAATACCTAAACTACCTCTAAAATAAGTCACACTTCTTCACCTTATCTTCTCATTAATCATCACCTCTCCTAAAAAGTAATATCAATTTTGAAAAATTAACTCTATTTTTTATTTTCTTTAAATATGTCCAAGAATCAAAACAGGTGATTTAAATTGGGACGGAGGGAGTATGTTTTAGTGTAAATTATTTTGTTAAGACTGTGGGGTATGACAACGGCAACTGGATCGGAGAGGCTTAGGTGGCCTGAGTACCTCTCGGCACAACCTCTAATTTCCCAAGCAGCTTGCTCTCTTCTTCCTGTCCCTATCTGTGCGTTCGGCATTCCCATATGCGAAGTCACTGCGAGTTCCTCGGTGAGGTGCCCCCGTTGAAGCACTGAGGTGGCCAGTTAGGAGACGATGATCACAACCTCAAGCCTAAGTATTCCGGAGTATTTATTCACTTTTCGATCAAAATTGGTAAAATTTGATTACAAATTAAACAAAATTCATATTAGATATTGATACAAAAATAGTTTTATTTGATTTATTATATCAAATATTTTCAAAATATTATTTTATCTGAATAATATAAAATATATATTTTATTTAATTATAGTTAAAAGTTAAAAACAGTCCACCGAAAAAAATCAAAACTGGACAAATACTCAGTGACGGAGGTAGTATATTCATCAATTTTGATCTTTCAAGTATCTCTATCTAATTAGCTCTAATGATTCAATAATTTGTACGCCATTCTTTATAATAAAAAAAAAACGCAAATTGCTTTCGTTTTAAAAATATTCTAAAATTTTCATCTCATGTTTTTAAAAACAACAAATTAGTTAATTGAATCAACAACAAGAGAGTTTACAAGAAAAGGAGGGTTGAATAGTCATTCGATGCGATCAGACATAAAACTAACTTCCTTAGCCACAAGATTGAGAAAGCATGATTCAGAAATATCTTAACAAAACTAATAAAGCTCAATCTCTTGAAAAAATATAGTTTCTTTAGTTTTCCAAATAATGAGTCCCAAAGTCTAATTAAAGGATTCAGACTCAAGTACATGCATATTTGGCAAAACTAAAGTACTAGTTTTAATGCCCATGTCTTTTTTGCTGTTTTTGGTGGGTTTATGTACATGAAACTTCCATTTTGCTGTTTTTGGTGGGTTTATGTACTGGTTTCAATGCCCATGTAATATTTGGCCACTAGAAACTTTCATTTGTTAACAAAGTGGTGTTCTTTTACTTGCTCTGATCTGGTTTGTAATCTCTGGGCTTTGTTTGTTGTTCATTTGTATTTGGTGCTGCTGTTGCGCAAGGGAACAATATGGAACAATATGCTGTTTACTCTTGCTGCAATTCAGTTTATAAAATACATTCTTGACCCAATCAATCACACAAAACATACATTAAATACAACATAAGAACACATAAAATATGAAGCATTACACTTTTGTCAAATCCCACATAAAATGTCAAGCATTACACTTTTCTCAATCCTAACAGTACACACATACACTTACACATAACACACATTAACCAATCCACAAAAGGCTTATCTTAATTCCTTCCAAAGTACACACATACGCCGACACACAACACACAAAACCCAATCAGCAAATGAGTGATTTTAGTGCCTTGTATTGGTTGTTTAGCCTTTATCTGCTGTCTTAGTTGCTCGTTTTCCTCCGCATCATTGATCCTCTTCAACAAGCTAGGAATAATTTTTATCGCTCTGTCACACATTGGAGGATCAATCCACTCCCACCTCTTGCATTTACGCCATCCCTATACATAATTACCATTATATTCATAAATCTAACCATATCACTAACTTTTTCATTACATATCCAAAATCTTCTTCTCGGGTTGCTATCAGTCCATGCAGTCTGAATTCTCATTTCATTGCCACAATTACATTTGGGAACTTCAAGCCAATCACCAAAATGTTCAATTCTTCTAGACGAGGCCGACGATGAATGATTCCCATAGCTATCAAACCCAAACACAGTCAATTTCATAAAAAATGCACCGTTACAAAATAAGATGAAAAAATGACACCATATTTGATAAGAAAAAAGCTAAGGTTGAAAAAATTAAAAATCCAAAAAATATATATATATAAAAACAGGTAGGGTTACATAAAGTTCACGAAAATCAAAAAAAAATTACAAAAAATAATAAAATATCACCAAGTTCAAAAATTTTGATTTTATCCTCTATCGAGGCACCATTCTCAATGCCCACACAAATGAATTCAAATAATTCTCACAAAAGCTTTACATTAGAAATTACAAATTGAACTAAAGAAATTGAGACTAGAAACGTAGAAAGTTGGAATTACAAGAAATACCTTCGGTGACCCACTGACATTTGCGATTTCATAGCCCCAATTCTTGCGATTCTCTTGCCCTAGCTCTCAATAGACGATTGTGGAGAATTGGAGAACACCGTTGGGTATATAGGCGTCAATAATAGTGTAGGTTGAAATTACGTTATTACCCTTCACTTAACTGCACTGGAACGGGAAAAATGACGGAGGACCTTTTCTGGAATGGTACCCAAACAATAAAGACTAAAAACTTCATAACTTGTAAATAAGGACTAAATAGGAAAACCCCTTAGTTATAAAGGACTATTTAAAAAATTTACTCTTACCATAAACTCAAAATCTGATCATATTACTCTTCTCTACGGTATTTAATACTCCACATTTATTTACGGAGCACTACTTACTGTATTTATTACTAATCAAAACAACAAAACAAAGTGTAAAGAAATGTTGTCATCTGCAAAGAAGCTTAGATCTATCATTAACTCACCTGGAGTCCATCTTCTTCCTGCTGCTTTCGATGCTCTCAGTGCTAAGCTCATCGAAAGAGCTGGATTCTCTTGTGCTTTCACCAGTGGTACTTGATAAAAAATCACTTCTTTTGGTTTCGGGTTTATGTATTTTCAACTGTTTAGTCATGGGTCATTGTTTGATTCTTATGATTTTGCGCATGATTACTGTTCTAGTGTTGATGATTCTGAAAATCTGGGTTTCTATTTGATCAGGGCTTTGCATCTCCAGTGCCTGTTAACTGATCAGATAGATTAATTACTCTATGATGGCTTTAATTTTGATGGACAGTTTTTAGGCTGATTGGACTAAGGAAAGAGCTCTTACATTATACATGTGTTTATTGTACATTCTTCATATGCACATTTACAAAATACAAATGCTCATTTTGCACATTTGTGAAAATGATGTGTGCCCAATTAATGCCGAGGGGTTCCATTGACATTGGAACCCCATGTGATCCTATAAGGCTATAACATTAGTCCCAATTGGGGCTTTTACGCAGTCTCAAAAAGAAAATTGATGCACATTATAAAATGAGTGTATGCACATTTACTAGTTACATAATGTTCATTGGATGTACAGGAAAGTAGGTATCACCCGGATGTATTAGGGAAATGATTTTGTTTAATGTGGGCTGGGTTTGATTGTTTTAGGGTTCTCGATATCGGCCGCTCGATTGGGAATGCCGGACACGGGTCTCATTTCGTATGGAGAAATGATTGATGTGGCACGAACAATTACAGAGGCAGTTTCCATTCCGGTCATTGCTGATGGTGACAATGGATATGGGAATGCATTGAATGTGAAGAGGACTATTAGGGGATTTATTCAGTCTGGCATTGCCGGGATACTTCTCGAAGACCAGGTTTATATATAAAGTTCTTGTCACACCTTAATCCGTATAGTTTTAGGCTTTACAAATTATTGTGTTATTGTTCCAGACTTGATCAGCCATGGTTATTGAGAAAGTTGGAATGGCGTCATTGGAATTTATGTTAAGTAGAGAGAAATAGTATGACCAACACATTTTTTTTCCCTTAAAAAGAAAGTAAAACCTTGTTTGGAAAAACCAGCATTCTTATAGGGAAATGTAGAACCTTTTTCATAGACAGAGAGAGTAGTTAAAAATATCTTTGTAAGTGTTTCTTTGCATTCTTTTACGAGCCAAGAATCTTTTGGAAACAGTCTTTTTACCACTTTAGGTAGAAGTCAGTCTTCTGCATAGCCGTCTCTGGACCCCACGTGTGGGAGTGTGGGACTCTACTTGTTATTTTGTACTTTCAGCTAAAGTGGTAATGGATATAGTGGTTACTAATTGGTAGGTGTCTCCTAAAGCTTGTGGGCATACAAAAGGAAGGAAGGTCGTGTCGAGGGAGGAGGCAATAATGAGGGTAAAAGCAGCTTGTGATGCTCGCGATGAGTGTGGAGGTGATCTTTTCATTGTGGCTAGAACTGATTCTCGCCAAGCCATATCTTTGGAAGAAGCACTCTGGAGGGTCAAGGCTTTCGCAGAAGCCGGAGCCGATGCGCTCTTCATTGATGCCCTCTCTTCAGTTGAAGAAATGAAGGCTTTCTGTGCTGTTGCTCCCGGTGTCCCAAAATTGGTACCCCACCCCCCCACCCCCTGCGCTCTCCCACCTTTTCTTAGAAGAAATGTGTTAAGGAACCAACTCAACCAAAAGCTCAAACTTTTAGTTGTGGCCCAGGAACATATATTTATATTCTAACACACCCCCTCACGTGCAGGCGTAGTCTTTTTTGAGCCTTGCACGTGAAACCTTAATTTTTTTTAAACTGGGTGGCGCTGAGTTTCGAACCCGTGACCTCTTAGTCAACGAGGCTCTGATACCATGTTAAGGAACCAACTCAACCAAAAGCTCAAGCTTTTAGTTGTGGCCCAGGAACATTTATTTATATTCTAACAAAATGAATGCCCTCCTAGCCAGCTTATTTCTTGCTTTTCTTTAGTTTGTATGACTTTATATTTTTTGTTTTTGCAGGCTAATATGCTTGAGGGTGGAGGAAAAACTCCGATACTCAGCCCTAGCGAGCTTGGGGAGATCGGGTACAAATTTGTGGTCTACCCTCTCTCCTTGATGGCAGTGTCCATGCGAGCAATGCAGGTCACACACAAGAAACCCGTTTTGTTACATGCTTGAAATGAATATTCCATTCGTCTCTAAATTAAAATTAAAGTAACTCTTGGACTTCACAAAGTCTAACAAAAGCATTGAAAAAACAATGAGTGGATGGATAGTTTTTGTTTTGAGAAGAGATTCCAAAATTTGAAATCTTGAATTTCAAATGACAGGGGGAGGAGCATGTATTTCAAATTAAGCTTTGTTATGAATGAGAAGATTTTGACTCAAATCCAAATTCAAAATTTTTAAGTTTTCCAAACATGGAATTTGAGCCAAATCCGAATTTGAAATCCAAATCCATGTTCCCAAACATACCATAAAGGAAATGCAAGAAGTGCGAATTTAACTTTGGGACGCTGAAAATGATAATACGGAGTACTTTTTTTTTCTTTCTTTTTTCTGCAGAATGCACTGGTTTCTCTTAAAGATGGTAAACTCCCGGCACCGGAAACCATGCCATCTTTTGAAGAGATCAAGGACATTGTCGGTTTCAACGACTACTACAAAGAAGAGGAACATTATGCCTCTGGTTCGTACTAACAACTGCTAACAACTGCTTTCTCTTCTTCTTTTTTCTCTCTTTTTTTTTGCGTTCGCATATTGCTCCACATTTTACACTTCATTGATGGAATTTGGATCAACTCAAGACATTTAAAGCCTTTTTTCTTTCAGTTAGTTCAGTCCAACTGATATATTGGATTAGTCCCACAAAGGGGAAAAACTTTGTTGTTTTAAGTACTGCAAGAAAATAGTAAATGGGGAAGAGGCTATATGCCACCAAGTATTGTGTTTTTTTTCAGTTATACTCCAAAGACATTATGAATAAGATATGAGTAGTAAATTGGGATGACATTATTGACTTTGTTTAATAGTGATGTGTTGTTTTTTTTCCCCATCGGAGCCTTGGCAAACACATTTGGCTGTGATGGGCTCTTTATTATACGACAACACCAAACTAGTCTAATGTGTTTTTTTGGCCAGATTGAACTTGATTTTCCTGTACTATTCAAATAATGTAATACCCCTTCCAAACTGAAATGGAATAGGTGGTCAATATTCTCATTTCTCTCCATAAATCTCAAACCAATAATCTTACCATTTTTTAGATTATGAGAAAAAATAAGCAAGAAAATTTATTTGGAACAAATTAAATACTTTGTACTCCCTATTAGATTTATGAAATATCTAATCATCAAGTGTAATGATTCATTGATGTAATGATGTGAGGGATGAAGCGAGCGTGGACACTAACGGGGAGGAGGAAGCATTGGTTCGGGTGTGGGTAAACGTTTCAGAACACTCGACTAAATTTTATTTTCTTCACCAAATAATTTTTTTAAATAAATTTTTGTCTTCTTTTTGTAACAAAATTTTTTCCCAAGTAATTTTACTTATAAATTTCTATTTCACGATTAGGGACGACCCCAAACGCAAAGGGCTTTTGTAGTAGGGTTACCACTCAATTCCGCATCATTATGAACACGGAGCTCTATTGTGACATCGACGCCATCTACTCCAGTTGCGGCAACTTGAATGCAAAAGTCTAGAAGTTCGCCAGCATATACAACTTCACCGCCTCAAGGGGTGAATGATAATGACTATTTAAAAACTGCATTGTCCGAGTACCAAGCCCAATGTAATAGCTCTTTCCCACATATGAAAGTGCTTGAGATATTGACTAGGCACTGGAAGTTGGCTCTAGTATCGAATGAGGTCTCCCGGACGAAATAGACGAAGACATCAGAGTTCGGGGGGATATACTCCCTCCGTCCGGAAATATTCTTCCCATTTGACTTTTCTTGGTCAAAGTTTATAAACTTTGACTATGATATATGAAAAAAATACATTGTATCACGATATAACTTTGATATGAATATATTCCTTTTGATATATAGTTTTCAAATATCAAATTTTTACAAAATATATCTATGTATAAATAAAGATATTAGTGGTCAAAGTGCAATCTTGGAGACCGTAAAAAGTCAAATGGGAAGAAAATTTCCTGACGGAGGGAGTAGTATGTAGCCCAAGGGGTCTGGCGTTCATTGCACCTTCGCATTGTTACGTGATGACGATGACGATATTCTGACCCCTATTGAGCCGACATGGCTCGCCAGCAAGGAGAAGGCGAAGAGGGCACCATCGCCAATGGCACATGGACCCCAAGGGTCAATTATCGACGAACTGATCTCCACCATGGCCACCTTCAACAAAGTGCAGTTGAACCATATTCGGCTTAAGAGTAAAGCCGCAGACGAGGCAATTTGGGCTAGAGTCCAAAGATAATGAGTTAAAAGATTACGAGATTCTGATGGTGAGTGTTGATCATTTTCTACCTGTAAAACGCGCAACTGTTCTAAAAAGGAAGGACAAAATTAACGTGAAGTAGCTAGGAAGTGCGGCGGACAACTTGGGCGGTGATTTTTTATTTTTTAATCAAATACTTCCTTCATCCCTAAAAAAGCCTCCTAATTAGGTTTTGCACAAAGTTTAAGATAAATAAAATTATGTGATTGAAAGTGATGCAGAGGAGAGAAAGATGTTGGGTCATACAAAATTTGTCAAAAATTGAAAGATAAGTCATTATGAGGACGTCTCGAAAAGGAAATGAAAAGTCATTTTTGGCAGTAGTTGTTTTTTTAATCGAGCACTTATATTTTTTTCATTATCTATTGCTCTTATATATTTTTTTGCATTATGTGAATGTAATTTAAAATTGAATTTTAATGAAATATGTACTTAATGTTTTTATTTTAAGTTATTTTGATTTATTTTTTTAAAAAATAAACAAAATTATGCGTAATGGGCGTGGTCCACACACTTGTATGGTGATGAGCTATGATGGGAAAAAGAAAAGCTGACGTGACACTAAGTGGGATGACATGATCCATATCTATCAGCCTAATAAGTGAAAAATATGTGGTTCTCAATATTTTCCTTCTTCTAATCAAAATTCAACTACTAACTTTTTTCTTTTCAATATTTTTCCTAAATTTTGTAAAGTTTAATTGGAACTACTAGTTCAGGATAAAATAATACTATATTATATCTCATTTATACTTCATCACTCTTCCCATGATTTATTTTTAAATCTATTTTCTAATCTTCTTATCTACATTCAAAATTATGTGATCTAAGACTATAGACTTTAGTGTATACTTTCTTTATTACGATATACATCCTTCAAAAAAGTATGAGCTTCATCCTTGAGTATCCTCTCACCCGACCAAACGGTTACTAAGAGATGTAAACTGGACTATGATCACAGATTGGTAGTAAATAATAGAGTCTGCACCATGTACTGAAATCAAACTCGATTATTATCCTTTGGATATTCGTTGTCTTTGCTAACTAGGCAACGCCTGCCGCCAATATATACCTTTGAGTCTTTGCCTAGAATAAAAGAGATACTTTGCCAAATGTTTGGATTTGATTGAATAAAAATACATGTAGACGAGACGTGTAGGGAGTACTATAATTCGTAACAACAATGGAAGGAGTGCAATTGTGTAATAAATGTAAAGTGAGGGTTCCGAAATATAAATAAATACAAAGAGCGTATAAATTCTAGAACTCCGTCGGCTGTTTGCAGGCCTCATTTCCCCGGCGGGATGCTCTGTTCATTCTTGAAAAAGTTCAGTGGGTCGACCGCCTTCTTCACCTCCACCAACCGGTCGAAGTTCTCGTTGAAGTACATCTCTCCGTACACCTTGGCCTTGTTGTACCGGTCGAGCCCGTTGTCGGTGACGCCGATGTCGAGATCCCGGTAGTTCAGGTACGCCTGCCTCGGGTTCTGGGTCACGAACCGAGTCATGAAAGTGTGGAGATCCTTGGCTTGGTCCAGCAACTTGGTCCCGTCGTCTTTCTCCGCCCACGACAAGGAGTATTGGATCTTGAATAGGATTCCGGCGCGGTGGGGGAACGGCGTCGCGGTGTTTGGGATTTTGGTGAAATTCCCGTCGCCGCCGTAGGAGTTGAACACCAGCCCCACTTTTCCGGCGGCCAGTTTGGTCCACAGGGCGTCGAGTCCGGATTTGGGGATGGCAGTGCTCACGTAGTCGGATTTCCTCTTCCCGAACTTCAGGGGATCGGAGACTCTGCTCAGGAGGATCTCGGGTTTTGTGGCGATGTAATCGTGATTGTCCCATTGAAGAACGGACTGGATCCAGGTCATCTCGATGAGATCGGCGGGTTTCAGTTGCAGAGACGGGAATTTCTCGTCGGTGATTTTCTCCAGATCCGCCTTGCCGCCGAGGAATAAACCGATGGCGGTGACTTTAACCGTCTTTGATTTATTCTGCGTGTTGGGCTGGAGAAGGAGGCGGACGAAAAGCCGGCTGTCCATGGTTGTGACGGCGTTCTGGAACTCCGTGACGACGGCGGTCGAGTTTTGGGGCCCGATCTTCTCGACCCGGAAATACGTTACTGCCGGCGGCACCCGGACGAGTTGGATTTTGAACGCTAGGATCACTCCGAAACTGGCGCCGCCGCCGCCGCGGATCGCCCAGAAGAGATCCTCCCCCATGGCGGCCCTGTCCAGAATCCTCCCGTTGACGTCGACGATTCGCGCGTCCACCACGTGGTCCACGCTCAGCCCGTAGTGCCGGAGCATGTTCCCGTACCCGCCGCCGCTGATATGGCCGCCGACGCCGACGGTGCGGCACACCCCTGCCGGGAACCCGTGGATTTTGCTCTTCTCGTAGATCCGGTAGTAGAGCTCGCCGAGAGTCGCGCCGGCCTTGACCCACGCCGACTCCGTCCCAATATCCACATCAATCTCCCGGAGATTAAACATGTCCAGGATCACGAACTGAGCCCGGGAGACGTACGAAAGTCCCTCGTAGTCATGCCCCCCGCTCCGGGTTCTGAGCTCGAGGCCGGACTTGACGGCGCACAGGACCACCGCGGGGACCTGGTCCTCCGTCAAGGGCGTCACGATGACGGCCGGCTTCGGCGTGGCGGTGGTGTTGTACCGGAGATTCCTCACGTACTCGTCCAAAACCGGCTTGAATTGGGCATTGTCCGGCCGGTAGATTTGGGCCTGCGGGATTGGCTTATAATTGCCATTATTTTCACTGGAGAGGCAATTGACAAATTGGGTTACTTTATCAGTATCATTATTATTGCTAATTTTATCCATGGCTGCAGAAGAAGAACAGCTTAGAGAAGAAGAAGAAAGAAGGAAGAAATGGAGAAAGAGCCAAAACGAAAAAATCTTCATTTTATCATATGTGGTCGTCATATGATTTGCTTATAATTTCGTGTTTTTTGGGGTATTTATAGAGAATAATAGTCAACAAACGAGAAAAGAAGGAGCAGTTTAATTGCGTGGGTTATGGCAAAAAGGTCATTTTTGATCCTTATTTATGGTAAAATGTTCCCAGAACAAATGGCGCGTTGAATATTGTCGGCCTTAAAAAGCACTACAAGTCAATGTTTGGGGGATTACCATTCTTACTCTTAACTACTCAAATTGATTTTTCCATTGTGAATTCATGAACATTAATGTCAAGATAAATTCTGAATGCAATAAATAAGTAAGTTGTTTAGTGCTCCCTTTGCCCAAAAGTTTATTTCCGTTGTGCGTAACGATATTGAACGATTTAATTATTTTCATATCATTTTATATAAATTATAAAAAATGATGTAGAATGAAAAAATAAAAATCATACTTTCTCTTTTTCCACAATAAGTTACACTATTCACTATTTAAAAATTGCAAAAACTTTTGTTTGTTTGTATGCTTTCATTGATTACTTGATTAGATAAAATATTTTTGTCATATTTTATTTTGTAGATTTTTTGATATACTTTTTAAATATACAAGTTGAGTCAAGGGTCTCATGGAAACAACCTCTCTACTTTTGAATAGGGGCAAGGTCTGCGTACACACACCCTTCCCAGATCCTACCCTTAAGGGATCTAACTAGGTTGTTGTGTTTTTTAAATATCGAAGTTTTATCATTTATTTCTTTACCAAATTTTAAATAAAATTAATTAAAAACTTGAAATTTTACTTCATTTTTTAAAAAAATGAATTAAAAATATAAGACTAATTTTTTTACTACTTACTCTGTATAAACAACTTATAAATCATGTATAAGTATAGAGAAACACATCAGCAACTGATTTATAAGTCAAAAACAAATTTATAAGCAATTTTGACCAGTTACTGTAGAATCATTTATTAATTAATCAGTTTTAAAAAAGAGGTTGAAAAAAATAAAAGTGAATGGATAGGACTCTATCGTTAGGGTGTAAACAAATATTAATCGGATCGGATGTACCATCACCAGATCCGTATTGATTTATTTTTATCGGATATTGAATTTGGATACGGATCTTGACGGATACTACAAATCAAAACATATCTGCATCCGTCAAATATCGGTCGAATATCGGATATATCCGTATTCATTCCCAATTTTTTAAGTTAAATTGAAAAATACTTTAATTTCCAATTAAATTAAAGTCAAAATATTATTTATTCAATTGTAATTTGTTACGGAGTAATTTTTTCTTGTTTTTTTATGATTTATATTATTTTACGACAATTCCATACGGGAAAAACATATATATACATAATACACATACACACATATTTTTATGTGTCTACACATATATTTTGCATATAAAAATGTCTTATACTTTGAGATGTCAATAGAAAAAAACAAAATATAATAATAAAAAATTAGGAAAAATTATATATAATGGATCAGATATATATGAATAAACGATTACTTAAACAGATGTCTGCGAGGATCGGATTATAAACGGATCGAATATATGATTACCAAATTTGTATCTGTTTATGAATCAGATATTTTTAATCGAATACAGATAATAACCGATTTTAACAGACACAGATATTTTCCGTATAAACGGATACAGAAGCGAGCGGTAATTGAAATTTTAGTTATCCATTTACAGCCTTATCTATCATTCTCACCAAACTTACTTCCTTCTAAATAAATTCTAAACAATCATTTTCATTTTTCTGTACATTTTAAATTATGTCAAATTAAAAAAAATGCAACAATACGAAGATGATATCCTTCGTGAATATTTCTTTTTGAAGAAACACGTGTTGGAAAAGCTCATTTTGGTAAATTCTTTTCCATTTGGTACGGAATTGGTGGAATTGGAATTGAATTGGAATTAAAATTCCGTAGAATTCAATTCCATAGAATTGAATTCACTAATTCCAATTTATTTTTTGCAAACTAATTCCAAATCCACATAATTTTTGTGCTACCAAACATGAGAATTGGAATTGAAGTCCTCAATTCCAATTCTATAGTTTAAATTCCGTGTACCAAATGGGGCCTTATTGTTGTTCCCGTCGCGAAGATGATTATATCCTTCATGAATATTTCCTTTCAATAACTTTTACGGAGTATTTATTTGTGTTTTTTATTAACTATTTGATAAAATAAAATAGTCTTGTCACCTCCCGTTTTTTAAAACTTTTAATATAATTTTATAATAGATAATTTTTATTTTTTATTGATATATGGAGTACATATTTATAAATAAAGTGATCTCAGAAGACGAGAAATATTCCCTCGAAACTCCCAATTTGCAATCAAATATTTTAAATTCATCCATATATTGAATGCCGAGTCTTACGTTTGGAAATAAATAAGGCTCCAAAATTAGTTTTCTAGAGGAGTTAAATCCAGTCTTAACTATTTTTACGTTTTTTTACTGCGACCGGTTTTACTTATTTACCTTAACAATTAAGGAAATGGAGAGTAACTTTGTCGCGCTGCGTGTGAACATTTGGAAATGTGCTTTAAAAAAAATTGAATATGATTCCCTAACATATAGGCATCGCCGCAAGGTTACGTGCTACTCCATCTCATGTGCATTTTTGACCAAACAAAGGGGGGAAATTACCATAAAAAATACTTTTACAAGATATGACTATTATATTTATATTATTTTATATTTGCTTTTTTGGGAAGTAATTTTGTAAAACACATAAGAAGGAAAGAAATATACTGCCTAGTGTGTTGTGATTACAATAGCCTTCTCTTGTTTATATAGGGAAAGAAAATCTCCAAATCCTACATACGAGGAAAATAAGAGTGAAATTTGCATTAAATAGAACTAAAACATAAGTCATTTCTCAATTTAGGACTTAAAACTTTTTTATTTCATAAATAAGACTTAATAATATCTAGTGGGAGAAATAATGTCCAATAATGATGAACATTTAGTTGAATAATGACTAATTGATAATGACCAAAAGTCCTACATTGGGAAATAAAAACATGTTGTCTTATATTGAGAAAATCATTATGTTTTGGTGTTATTTAGGTAAATATCTCAAAATAATACCACAAACAAAGAAACCCAACTATCTTAGGAAACAAACTCTCAATTGCTTGCGCCACAGACCACACGAATGGCTCTCACATGTGTAACACCCCCTCAACCTGGAGCATGGGGGTTCCACGTGCCTCGCATGGACAATAGATGAGTGAACGGAGCAGCTCCAAACAGCTTGGTGAAGATATCAGCTGGTTGATCAGCTGAAGAAACGTGAAAGGTACGAAGGATGCCACTTGAATTTCGTCTCGAATAGAATGACAATCAATCACAATATGTTTGGTACACTCATGAAAAATAGGATTAACAGCAATACGTAAAGCGGCTTGATTGTCACATAATAGGGTCATGGGCATTGAATGCCCCACGGCAAGCGGCCTTCCCTTATTTATTTCCTCTGCACATTCATTTATTTAGAGACACACTGTGAAAAACATTAAAAATTCTCAACAACTCTATTCACCCCTCCCCTCTNCCCCCCCCCCCCCCCCCCCCGCAGATTGGCCTTCAGCATTTCTCAATATTAGTGTACCTCTTACTGAAAGAAATGATAATGATGAATTTTTTTACTTCATGTGGCAATGTATATTATGTTTGTATGGTGCATATTTCATGCATGATGGTAACAAATTAAAGTTGACTTACTTATAGAAATGTCATTGTTTTTACATTTATTTATTTTTTCAAATTTTATTTTTTTGATAGCTCTTAGATCACGAACCCAATGCATCATATGCATTCTAATTTCTTCATAAGGCCCCCAAGAGCTAATTGGTTTCCTCCTTCATCATAATCGTACGTTTTTTTTCAAGTGCTTTCAACATGTATCCTATAAGATGTGTAGAAGGCCACTTCTAAGGATGTCTAACATGTAGGTCACACATGGAACCCAAAAGAAGGTGGAAATCACCATAGACTACAAATATTGCATTAAAACATTTTTGTTGAAGACATACAAATTAAAGAACATGAAGAACATGCATTAGGCAAATAAAAAGTGTGCCTAAAATACTAACAAGGTTTCATATTAGTATTTCTTTTCAAGAATATTTGTATATACTTTCAAAAGTTAGTGATCTTACTCATGCAAATACTCAAATATTTAATCTAGAAAACAAAAATAGAAACATACTATCAAAGTTATATCTCTGGGCAAATGTGTGTGCATGAAAATTGCAATTCAATATGACCTTAAACTAGACATGCATCACATGCACACATTTCTGGCCATGAACATTTTTATTACATTAATTATAGTATAATTTGTATTAGACCTTTACCTTACTAGTTCTTCCATTAAGATTTGAAATGCTCATGTTGACTTGAAATACATATACAGGAGTGTTAGAATATATTGGCTTTCCAAATTTACCCTCCCACGTATTCACTAAAAACCCCTTTTTAATAATGGTAGATGAACAACTTAAATGTCATTTTTATTGGTCACCACACCATCCAAAAAGCCTTCCCATTGAACTCCTGTCATCTCATATGAACAGATCTGAAATGTTGTTCTCTGTGTCAAAGAAGAGGGACAAATAGCTCTGCTTGTGCCCCATGTGGTTTGAAAAATTAGCACCAATATCATCTCTGATTTCAAAACTTATTTCTAAAGTCTCTCTGCAGGTTTCAAAACATTGCACTCACACCCCCTCTGACCATTTTCCGGTCATTTCCAGCGAAGAGGGGATATTGGTGCCTAATTTCTAACCATATGAGGTACTCACAATTCTTATTTTTCTTTTATTATTTTGTTATTTTTCCCTTTTTAGATTTTTTAGCTCTTTTTTGTTTTTCCTAAAAAAATTCTTAAAATTTCTTTTCAATTTTTATATCATTTAAAAAAAATCAAAATTCTTTGTGTTTGAAATAAAAATAAAAAAATTAACATACACTACATCTATCTCAAATTAAACAGTTTCACTATTCCTTTTCTAGAACTTTTTTTGGTAAGTTCAAAAAGAAAATCCATAATAAAACAAATAAAATTATGAAAAAATGAATTGAAAAAAATTGAAACATGCAAAAAAGAGTCTTATTCAAAAATGAATTTTCAAAATGCCTAAAAAATCCTTAGAATTTGGATGTCTTAAAAGGATTCATTTTTATTTTTTGTTTTATTTTATTTCTTATTTTTTTGAAATTCACAAAAAAAGTTTTTACTTTTTTATTTCAGAAAACAAAAAATAAAAACTGTTAATTTGAGACGTACACATGCAATATATGTTAATTATTTTTTTCAAACAAGAAATAATTT